TATGAATCTAGTTATGTAAATAACACAAAATTTTTAATTCATACTTAGTATAGATAACAACGGAAATTAACTACAACTTAACAACTTATATTTATTCAAGGCCCATTACTATGAAGGTCATAGGCCATCATCTTCATCATCAGCCTATAAGTGAGTATTGCTGAGCAAAGGCCTCTTCTTAAACTGTGAAGGTTGAGCATTAATCACTAGCTAAAAGCGGATTTCAATATTTATGGAAATTATAAGTCCATATTTCTTCAAGATGATTTACTTCACCGTATGCCATTGGTGTCTAAATAAACACAGAAAGCATATAACTCGGAAAAGTCATATCGTTGCTAGCCAGGTTTCAAACCCTCGCCCTCATATAAGAGATGCGGGTTTAACCTCCGGGGAACCACCACACATGTAGGTATTACGCCCAAAATTCTTCTCAAATTGTTTATGGCCATACCCAATGATATCTTTTAAAAAGAATAATCACACATTAACGCTCAGACCGGTAGGTAGCTGTGCGTGTAAACTATAAGAGTAATATAATAATAATGTTTTCAATGCACACAATGTGTGCACGATCTTGGCACTTGCATCAAATATGATTGCAACTGGAGTGGAACAAACGCGGCACCTTGGTACTGGCTGTCCATGCCATCAATATTTATTGTCTAACAAACTATCGACCCACATTTAATCGATTCGTCTAATTATATCGACTGAATGAATGGGTCTACGGTATTTGCCATTCAGATATGTGATTTAGAGCTGGTCGTACATAATGTTGTCAGTTTATTGTGCGGAAAGAACAGACAGAAGGATTGTTTTGCGAAAATGTATAGGCATAGGTCACTATGTGAATTTATCGAACCACAGCAAATATGCTGTGGTTCAATAAAATAATAAAATGTTACAATTTCAACAAATGCTCGCTATCATGTTTTTATTCTTCTCGTCTTTGGAACTCATTTAGGTAGCTGCTACGTGAATTTGAAAAAGCCTTTTTTAAAAAGGACCATTCAAGTTCCAAACAACATCAAGGTTATGGTTTATTCGTGTTATTGTCATTAGCAGGAATCTTGCCATGGAATTGTTTAACCTAATAAAATTTACTTTGTTTAAAAGTGGATATAATTAATCCTATTGTGAAATACAAAATCATAATTCAAGAAATACGATAAAGTATAAAACTGTATATTTATGTAAGTAACATAAATCTTGTTGATTTATACACTAAAAAGCCACATTAGTGCCTGGTGACAACACACAAATAATTCATAAACTGACAATTATGCCTTTTTCAACGCAAGCGAAAAAAGTTATCGTTTCCGATTACACGAACAGGGAGCGCGCGAATTCACTCTGTGGTATTTTTATTGCTATCATAATAACATGATTAAAAATGTCTGACATTAACGTGGCTCTTGTCAAAGGATGACAAAAATGTTTGTGCTTTATGAGAATTACCTACCTTACATTTTTGGGTGTATCCAATCTTTGGCATTTCTATCATATATTGTTGGTTATAATAACTTTGTGTTTTTGCATTAACAATTGAACGTTAGAATATTGATGACAAGGAAATATATAAAAATATAGCTTATATTTAGCAATTTTCTTACGTGGACGCAATGTAATTGCTAATAGTGGCACTGATATTTAGTTATCCGATCTTCAAATAAATTGGGCATAGGCACCTTCTTATATTCTCGACGGACATTTAATCTAATTCCAAACATAAGTTACATGACTACGGTCAGTATGAATTAATATAATAATAGTGTGTACGTTGAACAAAAATAAACGTGAATTGCTCACTAAAATAAAACTTAAGATCATTGTCGTCTCTACGTAAGTATAGTTTTCATCACCCGTCTTATTTATATTCCCGCTTGACAACGTGCGATAAAATTATTGCCGCCATTTTAGACGCGTTTTGACTTTTCCCGCCATTACACCAATTAGTTGAGTGAGATGTCCGCCGCCGGGTGGACGCTTTACGGTTTTTATGAGACTGTTTGTTATTTTTTTATAGTGAGCTGTTTTATGAGTACAAATGTGGTAGTGACTAGTGTCTGAAGCCTTCACATCTGTGGATTTATCGTTTTTATATTCTTGAAACTAACTTTTTTAAGTTTTCAACGGATGCAATTGGAGTTTGCTGAATACTAAACTTGCTAAATGTATAAACTTGGTGTAAGTCTTTCTTCTAGGCATCAACTACTTGATTACAGAGTCTCTTTTTACTATTTATGTTATTACGCACTATAACATTTGTTGAAATTCATCTCTTATCTTTGATAAGGAGGTAGGTAGGTTTTTTAGTTTTACATTAACGACTAGGCTTACTTAGTCAACTTTTAAGTACCAATGACAAAATAAACAAAAAGGGAGGTTCATTTAGAAGATTTTTTTAGCGTCGTTACTTCTTAGGTCATAGTAGGCTAAAATGTACACCTTTGCCTAGCATTTAGAATTGGAATGAAATGCTTAATGTTAGGTGCGTTTAGAAGTTCTGAATACTTAATAGGATATTCGTCATTTACGAGTAGGTATCTATTTAAAAAAAATATTTTGATATTTGTTTTGTCCATTGATAAGTTTTCTTGTTAGGTAATAAGTTACATTAATATTTGATTTTCTTAACAAATATCAGTGGGCAACAAACTAAACCAGTAGCATAGGATAGTTAAGTATATTACAATTACTTAGCGTTCTTATTCCGTACATAATTTATTGAGCAATTAATTTATTTTGATTCATGATTTAGTAATATTTTATAACAATACTTGTTTTATTTACAAGAATATAACGTTTATTGCTTAATTATATGTATAGTGAACAAAACATTTCGATTGCGAATTAAAATTATATTTGATAAAAATAAGTATGAGTACAAAATTATCAAATGTCAAATTAAACGCAGATCTATTATTACATATTATGCGGGATTGCAGGGTAAGCGCAATGCCGCGGTGCCTCATTAACACTCCCTGTGATATGATGTGTGATCCAATGATTTTCCCCTCACAAAATAAGGTATAATAAAACATATTATTATTATGTAAGTGCGTAAAGAATTTTGACATAAGAATGTTAAAAATGCAATAATTAAAACATGACATCTAGAATAAGTACCTACCTGCATATTCTAATGCAAACGTAAGCATACTATAGTTACGTATTTAATTAGACTAGTTAAGTATAGCATTTGTAAGATTCCTATTTAAAGTTAGTATGGCTAGAGAATTGGGTAGTTTCCTAGGTAAAAAATAAATTAATTCGACGTTTCAATGCAGTTTTAGATATTTTGTAGCGAATTACTAAGAAATATGTAAGCTATTTGACGCAAAAATACTATGACGTCATAACTAAGTTTTTTATATTTAAAACTAATGCTACGTTCGTAAACTATGCTCCGTATTGAATTTGACTAGTTGGAAACTACCTTATTAGTAGGGAGATGTCACGGCATCGTGGCATTTTCCGGACGTGGTAGTTCCAGAACGTGTTTGCTTCGGATTCGTGGGTCAAGCGCAATGACATACCGCGGCAAAGTTCCATGTAGGTAGTAGGTAGCAGGCACGGGGTGAATTACCCCCTCAAAAAAGGTAGCAAACAGTAGGGATGGTGACAGGGACAGGGGAAGCAACCTTTTCCCAACCTGTTTTGAAAACGTTTCTTCGCATTTTTAAAGAAATTTGAAAACATTTTTTAATATATTTATTAATATTTAACTGAAGGTAAGTTTAACCTTTGTATGTAATGTAATGTATTTAGGTACCATTTTTTTCGATACCTTTTTGCCATTTTGTAGGTAGGGACATGACCATTGCTATATACGTTTTGGGACTTCTGATCAAAATACCGCAAAAAGTGGTTTTGCAACTCCTCTCATGATGTTAACTTGACACTGTATAAAGAAGAGACAAAAACAGGTGGAAATCTGAAGATACAAGATCAGGACTAAACGGCGGATGCATTAACACCTTCCATACAAAATATCTTAATTTTTGCTGAGAGGATAATGAATGATGTGTGAGGTCTAGCGTTATCACAATAAATGATTAATTCTGGCCGCTTTCTCTCAACTTCTTGCTTTCACATTCACGGTATAGTTCAGATTCGTTGGTCCTACCTGGTGGTAACAGCCATCACGTATAATGCTTCCTATCTCACCACGCACCAAGTTGTTGGGAATTCACCTGAGCTTCGCCACAATTTGTGAAGCCTGACCGGCATTTAACCACGTTCTTTTTCGTACGCTCTTGTTGTACGTCATCCACATTTGATCACCAGTTATCAGCTTTTTCAAAGAATCACAAATGAGTACACAGTTCATTAGCATTAGGTTTTTTCAGTGAGCTCGTGACTTACCGAAATTTATCGAACTTTTTTGTGTAACCAAATGCGGCAAAACTATTTTGTGCTTGTTCCACTTTTTTTTAAATAATATCTATTTTATCCGTATCAGGGCGACCAGAGAGACACACACTCACTGCACTAGGTTAATAAATATCACAATTTTTACTACAACAAACGATAAAAATTTGTATTCCCAAAGACATTTTATTGCAAGTTCATACATACTATAATGCGAAGACTTTTTTCCAACTTAGTATATATGTAGGCACATAATATTTGTTGTACCTCTTTTGTAAGTATGTTCAATAAATTAGTTAAAATAGAGATGCTCTGTGAAACCTTGCAATTACTTCTATCGGTTTGGGTTAAGCAAGTTCCGTAGGCCCATTATTTCGTGCTTCAGAAATTAAATTTTGAGTAGGTAATCACAAAATTTTGGTCGTGATTTTTAAACCTCTAAACGAAGTTCATAAAATATAAAAAAAAGTATAAATTAAATACTTACTTAGGTATACTGTTCATTAACAAAAACAAGTTGCTTCACTGAGAATGAAGTTGACTACTCTGTTATTATAGGATACTTATAGCACTTAGGTTGACTGAATTTGCCGTATTTATGAAGAGCTTTGTATTTGTGGCAGGTATTGTCTCGTCGAGCGGATGTCCTCGAGGCGGGTTCGCACTGTCTCAGTCGCTGGTTGAGCGGCTCGGTCGAGATCATGAGCAAATTCCCGTGTTACCGCCGTTACATCACCCCATCAGAGATGTGAGTACTGCCGTATACTAATAACTCCTTCTTGTATTTTTCTGTAACAGATTGTTCACAAGTCAATATCGATGATCTTTGAAGGTTCGTTAAGTTTTACCTTTTATAATTTGTTTGCTAGAACTCGGTATGCGCGCGCAGTACATACTCCCCACTGCAGGCACTCAGTGAAAGTACATGTCGAGATCCAGGAGTATCGGCGCCGCCACCGCAACCACCGCCTAGAGTCCAGGTTAGTAACACAAATCACACATTCAAGAAACAAATGAACATGAAGTATGCTCCTTATGTTTTTATGTTGATTATGGTCAACATAAGAATTTTGTTCAGCAGGCGTCGAACCAAAACGTGACTCTCCATCCAGCGGTGGCGCGATGCACCGCGACGTTGGAGCTGGCGGCGCTGTGGCGCAGCTTCCATGAGTTGGGCACTGAGATGATCGTGACGAAAGCGGGGCGCCGCATGTTCCCCGCGCTGCAGGCCCGGCTGGCGGGCCTACTGCCCAACGCGGACTACTTGCTGCTGGTCGACTTCGTACCTCTTGACGATAAGAGATATCGATATGCTTTCCACAGGTGCGAACGGTTTCTTTAGGCATCACAAATATTTCTTTGGGTTATTGTAGAACTTCCAAGCTAATTTTTAATATGTGATCGCACGGCAAACAAGCAGACGGATTACCTGATGGTAAGCAATCAGTGCCGCCTATGGACACCGCAACAAAGGAGGAGTGCGTTGCCAACCTTTTGGGGATGAGGGTTTGGAGATTTTGCTATTGGGTAGAAATTGGGGGAGGGGAAGGAATGGGTCTCCGGTAACCTCACTCACACGGCGAAACACAACGCTGTGGTCGTTCCACGCCGGTTTTCTGTGAGGCCGTGGTATCCGGTCGAGCCGACCCATTCGTGGCGAAGCATGGCCCTCCCACACTTAAAACATTGCTTGTATGTATGTACTGGTGATATTGTAGTTCGAGTTGGGTGGTGGCGGGTAAAGCGGACCCGGTGTCGCCGCCGCGTATCCACGTACATCCGGATTCGCCCGCTCCCGGATCTAACTGGATGCGGCAGCTCGTCTCCTTTGATAAACTCAAGCTCACCAACAACCAGCTTGATGATAATGGACACGTGAGTACCTTCAAGTTTCTGTATACAAATATTTCTGACTTCGGACTTTAACACCATTTATTCAATAGTAAACGATCACAATAATTATCAATTTGATTTTTTCAGATTGTTTAAACGTACGTGGTTGTTTTAGTTTGGTCGTGATGTTCGTTTGCAGATAATTCTGAACTCGATGCACCGCTACCAGCCGCGGCTGCACGTGGTGTACCTGCCGGGCGAGGGGCAGAGCAGCGCGCCCGGCACCGTGCCATACCGCACCTTCGTGTTCCCAGAGACTGGCTTCACCGCCGTTACCGCTTACCAGAACCATAGGGTCAGTGGCATAAAAATATTATTTATAATCATGGAACTGTATTAAAATCCTCCGGATATTTTTTGTAAAAATATTTTCTTCTTTGTATTTCAGATAACGCAATTGAAAATAGCGAGCAATCCTTTTGCGAAAGGATTTAGAGACTGCGACCCCGATGATTGGTAAGTTCAAAAGCCTTTGTTAAAATAAAACCTAATTTTAAAATAAACGTAATATTAAAATCAAAAAAACAAAGAAATACGTTGAAACATTTTGACAATTTATTTCGCGCCATATTTTGACATGAGACCGTCTAAAGAAATTAACGAGACACGTTAATGATCGGGTAAACGCAACCACATTTCTCTTGCTCCCCACACAGGACTATGAATCAATTTATTTACAAAGTTTTCATGCGACGCGACGCCTCGGAACTCATTTCAACAGCCGGTGACAATTTACTTTTACGACGTGCCCATAGAGTAAAGAGTTACGCGCGACAGTTATGGCGGACATGGCTCGTTTCCCGTTCCCGCCAAAATAAAAAAATATTTGTAACCTCAAAATTTATAGTTGTAGTGTTTCCAATAGTTTATTCCGAGGATAGTAATTAGGATATCTTAAAGTTTTAATTAGGGACTGTCTCATCTAAATAAGTTTAAAATATTCTGAATCTGTGCAATATCTAAGTACTTCCAGCGTTGATCAGAAGCTTTTACAAAGACAGACCCGTAGAGGTAAATTCCTACTCCTTCAAATATTTGTTAGTATATGACTGCGCAAATTATAAAGTCTAGGCTAGGTGGACATGGCTAAACGATAAAGCAAGTGAACATAAAAACTACTCTATCTACTCGACCAAATACCTACTTTACAGCATAAAATATTCAGTGATCTTAAGATTAGGCACAATTTACAGTTTAGGTGCTTTATGTGAAGCAAATAATTAAGGTAAATACACATCAATAAGTAGAGTTGGGGCACCTGTTTTTTATCAAACGCCTGGAAGGCGGGGTACTTTCGTTGTTATATTAATTCTCTTATAAACATTCTCTTACACATGTTTACATCTTGTCTTCAGTGTTGGATGAATGCATTTTATATAAAGTTCTATGTAAAATTGTACAGTCAGGTACAAAATACATAATTACAGTATTTTTAGTTCGTGACTTCATTTTAATTTAGCGCTCAGAACTTTTTAAACAATGCAATCCAAATCTGCGTTTGTTCTTGTTTGTAGTTTTGTAGATGTAAAGTAAAGTTAAAAACTTAGGAAAGTCTAAAAACACATGGGAAAGTTTCATGTAGATAAAATATACTTTTGTATTCCATTAGAAAACTGTTTGAAAAAATAAGTATAAATAACGAAAGTTCAAAATGTTAACTGACTTTTTTCGCTGGTTGCAGTTAGATGATGTTCAAACAGAACAGTTTAAAAACAAAATTTAATTTCCTATAAAAATAAAGGACTTCTTGTTTACAACTCACATTAAAACTAACATAGCCATAAATATCCAAAAGACTACTGTTACTGACTGTACATGTAAACATTAAACCGCGTGCGCCTGCGTTTACGAACTTCTTGTTTATCGTAATAAAACAAGACCTGTCTGATAAGTTTCGAATGTATCGCCATCCTCGTCACTTTCTACAGTTCGCATATATTCCGTCTCGCTTTTTCATTAAAACGTTTAAATTCAGAGGGACCATGATATATTGGTGGCTCAAATTTACGAACTTGGCTACTGCCGCTCTCATCACTGTATTGGTTAACATGTTGGCAGTAAATCTTGCCTGTCACCCATTAATCCCGCAGTTTCATAAACTGAAGATGTTTTAGGTATCTTTATTAGCAATTTACGAGTCTAGACTTGGCCAATCGAATGAAATTTATTTTATATGAATCGATCGCATTGGTACCTACTAGTATTTATTAGAGATGTCTATACTAATATTATAAAGAGGTAAAAATTTTAAGTTTGTATGTAGGAGGTAATCTTTGGAACCGCTGTTCGAATTGCCATAATTCTTCCACTGATATATAGCTACAATGTTCCTGAGTGCTATGGGCTATAAAACATCATGCTACAATTATTTGGAGCCGAGCAGTGGGTGAAACCGCGCGGGAGTAAAGTAATTAGAAGAAAATATAGCGATGCAACCCAAGCTGTGTTTTGCTTTTCGCTCTGATTGCACATGCGCCTATTTCTTTGTTAGTCGAAAAGTTAAAAAAACTTCTATAAAGCGATGACTGAACAAGATGTCTTGTGTTTGATGACACAGTAGAGCTAAAATGTCAGTGATAGCTTGGAGTTGGACACCTTCATTTTACGAGGGACATCCAACACAGTTGTGTTCTGTTTAAAAAAATGGTACGGTAGTGATAATAAGCATGTAAATTAACCTAACCTCAAATCCTAATAATTCCTAATCCTCAAATATACCTATTTCCCTCACCTATTTTTCGCTAATTTATCTATTTGACCCAAAGTTTGACTGGTATAGAATACCATACGGCATTAAGTCCAAGTATTGTACTAACTACATGTCAAAAGGATAAATAAATAAATTATTTGGTACAGTAGAAGCGTAGCTGCGTAATTGCATAATGGCGTAGTGGCGTAGTGGTGGCGTAGCGGTGCAGTAAGTAGTGTAGTATGTGGAATTTTTTATTGGTATTAGGTTGGTTAGCTTAGTTACAGGATGTAAAAGTTTATTATTAAAATATTGTTTTTATTTTACTACTATAATCGCGCAAAAAAAAACTATCGACTATTTATAACCAAAATGTCGTTTAGGCAATTAAGTGATTAATTATCGGAACTTCTATGAAAAATCAATCGTCATGTGCATATACAGTTACGAGTTGGACAAAAAGTATCATAAACTTTTTTGTGCTTCCTGGTACCATAGATTAATAACTCTGGGACGAATGTATACGCCATTTGTCGCGCGCTGTCAAAATAGAGAATTAACACGAACGGTGCCTGTAATACGACTCCGCCTACTGGGCGGGCGAGAACATTATTATTATTTTGTTTTTAATATCTATCATATGTTGATAGTGAGCAGTCATTAATTCGGTCGGACACTGAAGATGATTAGTGAGGTCTATATTTTTTTAACATGTAACAAAATCCCGGTTTCGACTGCTTCATAATCATTTATATAAATATCCGAGCGAATCACACATATACCAGAGAAAACCACCACAAAAACAAAAATGTAATTTCTCCAAACCTTTATACTAAATTCTAAAGAAGAGAATGCATTTATCTTCCCAATAAGTAATCAGCTAACAATGATAAAAAAAATCTATTCCTTTTGATTAGCTGTAAAGTCTACCCCTATTATTTAAGACAGAATGAAGATGTTTAATACTATGCATTAGGTATATATTCTTAGTAGGTAATTAAGTACGTACGTACATCTCTAAATTGATGTGTTTGTGCACAGTCCCCCCGAACAGAGTCAGCAGCGCGGCGGCGCGCGGCGGCGCGAGTCGTCGGCAGCCGAGGCGTGCCCGCAGCTGGCGCAGCCGTACGCCGCCGAGCCCAGCGCCTGCGGCCCGCTCTACCCGCCACACGCACACCCTGTGCGGTCAGTACTCATTTATATTGCGTACCCTGATAATGTCTAATCCATCTAAAGCTTTGTTACGAGATATGTCACCACACGAGCCGACGGATTAGCTCATGGTAAGCAATCGGCGCCGCCCATGAACTCCCGCAACGCCAAAAGAGTTACGAGTACGTTTAGGCTTTTTGAGGATAAGTTTTTCGGATATTTAAGGATTTGGAAGGGATGGAAAAGGGGGAGGTATTGGGTCTCCGGTAACCTCACACACCCTGTCGTTGTTTGACGCCGGTTTTCTGTAGGCCGTGGTATCACTCCGGTCGAACCGACCCATTCCTGCCGAAGCTTGGCTCTCCCACACGTATGCGACCTGTGTGAACTAGACTTATTGTTCATTGAAGTTAGTTAAGTTAGTACCTATTCTGTTATTTAAACGTATCTTTCAATCTCTGTAACATTCCTGAATTTCATCGACTTGTAAAAAATCCAAAACAAATATAACACGAGAATCACGGAAAAGGCTTAAGTTTAAAATGCTTATCTTGCATTAACTTAAACTTTCATTGTTAATGCTAATGAATGTATTACGTTGTTACAGCTACCAGCCTCACTCCGGCCACAACAGCGCTTACAGTGCTTACTACGCTCACAGATAGCTGGCTGTGTGACGACGAGCGATAGTGGTAGTGATTGTAAAGACACCGGCCGCCGCTGACCACATGCGATGCGACAGATACGAGCGACCGTGTCGCTGGAACGCGCACCATCTGTCAATTTTACCGCCATATTTGGGGGATGAAATAAAAAAGTTATTTATTATGGCTCTATGGCTGTACCTATATATAAACCTCTTTATTGATTTTGGAAACTCAGTTGCTCTTCAAGAAGGAAAGAAAAAAATAAACCTCTTTTGAAATTATAATCTTTTGAATTATAATAAAAGATTCAACTACTTAATAAATTAATTTGTGTTATAGAGCCGTAGAGAGCCGTAATGTTTTGTGTAGTGCGCTGTCCGTTTGTGGTAACATTTGAATAACGATATGAGGGCAGTAGCATATAACAAAAAATAATACAAATCTTCTATAAAGTCTGTTTTGTTAAAATTTTGCGTTAGTACTATTCAAATTCATGTGTCACCACAGACGCGCTGTGGACTGGCTAAGCAGGATGATTGTGATTTTGGAAACGGGAATCGTATGTTCGGAATAAAAAAAAGTTTTGGAGAAAAATATTGTGTAAAATATTCTTTTAGTGATTATTTTTGTGAGAGGAGAGAAATTTTATGAAAAAAAAAGATGTATGTGAAAATTATTAATAATTTTGGCGTTATAAATTAATTAGTAGCGGTTATTTGCCAGATGGTGCCTAGGTTACGTTAAGTTGGTTTGTAAAACGATATAAAAATAAATGTTATGTTACGCACACGTAATTAAATATTGTAATTTGGTTTAATGAAAGCGTTATATCAGTGAAATGTACAAATAACCAAAGGAAAGGATTTATAACTACGACAGCAGGGTCAAAGCCAAATATTTTTGTAAAGTATCTACGTACTAACAAATCGTTTAATCATAAATATGATATAGAAATTGGTAAAGCACTGTTCACGCCTTTGCAATAGATGTGCCTTAAATGTCACAATATTTAAATGTACCTAATTAAAATTTATTTTGTTACCACACATAATGTATTTATTATTATAATGTAATATAATTTTGATATTTACCAAAACACTAGAGCATTCAACTTCATTTTATTAGAAAATGAAGAAAATGATTGCAATAGTCTAAATGCCAAGTGCCAAATATGAAACCAAAGGAACATACATAGCTAAGCATAAGATAGATTAAGATTTAGTAAATATGTTTGGATATTTATTTAAATCTATTAAAGTTGACGTAAGTCGAAAATGCATTTTATTTTTCCCTAAAAAGCAGTTGTTTGGCCTGCATGATGTCATTCTAATAAATATTGAGTTTTGAAGTTCAATGGGTTAAACAAGCTTATATCTAGTACCAAAAAAGACTAATAATTAATCGCAGCCTTTTTATTATAAGTCTGTACGCAGATTGTAACAAGTGATACTAGAATAATAATTATTTTAACTTAAGTTTATACGAGGAAAAAGCAATATTGCACTTGTTGGGGTAACCTCTCAATTTCTGGTGTTCTGAAATGTGACCTTTCGCCAACTGTGTACGTCATGACATGGCTGACTGTAGCGGAGCCTGGCTCTTCCCCTCTATCAACGTACACTTTAGATGATACTGTTTCTTCAAGCTCTTCTCCTACGAGTTCCGGTTCTGGTTCCAGAATTTCCTCAATAGGCAAAAAGATAGTTGAAGCTGAAGTCACAGGCTCCATAGAACAGTAAGGGTATTCTTGAGGAGCATAAGACACGGTATCGTAGAAGTTTGGCCGCTTACTGACAGGAGGACTGCTGTAGTAATTTTGAGGAGGAGCAGGGATCTGAGTCTCATACGGATAGTTGTAGGGGTCTACGTGATGGTGGTGGGTAGTTGCTGGTTGAGCAGGGGTTACAGGTTTCTGCTCACGATGCGTTTTTGGTTTCAATGGTGTTGGTACACTGCGCGAAACGTTCTTCATTTCTAAAGATTCTTGTAGTAGTGAGTTCATCTCGTCAGCCTGCTGGTTAGCTGCAATAGCGAGGTCTGATAGTATTTCAGTGTCAGGACTGAACTCAATACCGTACTTGTCAGCAATTTCTTGAGCAGTCATCATTTTGTCGATAGCAATGTTCTGATATTCGTTGTTACTTTTGATATGTTTAAGCAATCTGTTAACTAGTTGTGTGCTGGCCATGGGAGTTTCAACTGATCGTTTTTCCCGACAGTTGTTTTCTCCAAGTTCATTTCCGTCTTTTTCTATACTATTAAGAGCATAGGATAGGAGATTCGCCATTTCACTCTGTATAGCGAGGGTGATCTTCTGTGCGATTTCCTTGATTTCATCTAGCTGTTCTTCAACTGATTTCTCTGAATTGATCGCTTGAGTCATCATAGCAACTGAAGATGTAGGATGCAAGTGCGTGTCAGGTAGTAAGAAGAAGTCGATCCATTCCTTTTGTTCTTTTGGCGGAGGTTCAGCAATAACTTCATTCTCTACCTCCATTGTAGTGTTAACTACTTCACAACTGTTGACATATTCTAATGATTCCGTTACATTATCGAAGGCGAATGAACCCTGTAATAAAAATATAATAATAAGCTACTTTACATGTACAACAATAAAATAAACTCACTATTAATATCGACAAAAAATAGTCAATGTTTCTAACTACATTGATAGTCTGTTTTTGTTCGAATTTCGTTAAGAAAATAGGATTCATAAATAGGGTTTAATTATATTACCTGGATCGCCAAAGCGATGGTTATGTACAGTAGGGCCATGGTGAACGTGTTGTGCCCTCCATTGTCTCAGTCAAACATTTATAAGTAACACTATCAATACATTAGGAAATTATTTTGAAACTTTCTAAATAACTTTTTCAATGTTAGATAGGACATGTTTTTAAGCTTGAGCAATATTTTTTACAAAATATTGTTATTGCATAAAAAGTGCAGTGCAAAATGGGTAAAGTAGAGTAATGCAGGTCTATGTAGGGGCTGTATGGCCAATTATTTGTAGAATTAATACAACAAAAATCTATTCAGGCACGGTGTAAACGGGGGAAACAGGGAAAATCTTAATGTGGGGCAAGGTTTTTCAAAGGAAACAAACATACGGCTTTTTTATGTTCAACCCGTAGTATCATGGTCATAATATATCGCCATCATAATTCATAATAATATAATATGAACTTATGTTATTTCAGCATGGCTTATAATTTTACACAACATTGTTTTACAGTTCATGTTGGACTTAAAATGCAATGTTGGGAAAAAGAGAAGTAACTATGGATACGACAATCGAAAGTTGAAAAATATAGTTTTATTAGGACACTATACGGTAAATAAGTGCCCATATTTTCTTTTGAATCATTTGATTTAGAAGAGCAGCTATTGCCTACAGTGGAAAAATTGGGACAAGTCCGTCTTGAGTTAACACTTGTCAGGGTTACCTTATGTTGCTTAATCATTTGATAGCCCAATTTTGTACCGAACAATTCTTTTGTGATCTTTTAATAGCGGATTTGGAAATGAATTTACGACACATTAATCATATGGTAGACAACGACATCGTTTAAAACATAATGTTAAGCATTACTGCATTTCATAAACACTTTATATAATGTAATTATTTGCATCACTTTACATAACGAATGTATCTGTATGATAATATGATTTTAAATGAATATCAACGTCATCGTCAGAATGAGTGACCAGCGGTCGAACGTTTACCTAATATTAGTTTCTTCATAACAATGTTATAATAAATATAAATTATATTTAGCATAAAATATAAGTCAACATCTGGGAATTATTGGAATGTTCTTGTGTTTGAGTAATAAGCAAATAATATTATTCTTTGATAGAAAAAAACACACACAAATACACAATAAATAGAATTTATTTATATAAAACCTAAGTATTTAAGTTAGCACATTTTAGTCTTACGCATACCGTGGTATTTCATGATATTTTGGATAGGATGCGGGATAAGTCGGGGGAGCTGGGTACACAGGTGGAGGGGGATACGAAGGGGGGCAAGGTGGTGGAACTGGATAGTATTGGGGTGCAGGTGGATATGGAGCAGCTACAGGGTAGGAAGCAGGCGGATATGAAACTGGGGGAGTAGGCGCTGGAGGATACGGTTTGTAAGCAGAAGGTGATGGAGGTGGTGGAGGATATGGTTTGTATGCAGTAGGCGGCTGCTCATGCTGCGTCGGGTAAGGATAGGGATATGGAGTACAAGGCGGGGAGTAAGGTGGTGGAGCGTATTGAGGGTAAGGATAATCATAACCATACGGCGAAGGCCGAGGGGGAGGTGGACTTGGAGTATATTCAGGGGGTGGACTAGCTTCATACGTATAACGTGGGACTGGAGCTGGAATGGATGTCATTGGGGGACTGGGTGCAGGAGGAGGAGAGGGAGACACGAATACCACTTGTGGGTAAAGGTACGTTGAGGGGTCGTATGTGGTCGTTGGTGGTGTGGTTGTGTACTCAGTAGGCGTTGCTGGGGTCTCGTCTGTTGCAGGGCTGGTTGTAGGCGGCTGCACCTTTGATAACAGTGGCGCTGGAAATTAGAGATTTGAAGATATTCTTAAACGTGTTTTTTATTATTAGAGTTAATATACTAGTAAAGGCAGTCCATGGATATTAATAATGATACCCTTTATTGATAATAATTACCCTTTATTAGTTTTGATTAATAACTTAAACTTCTTTCTGATACTGAATTACAATAATTGTCAGAAAATGACGTAATAATACTAAAGTATGTGTTCGTTCAGTAATATCGGATTTGTACCTTTGATCGTACCTACTATAAACAATATAATTAATTAATTACATTCCACACGAAATACAAAGTCAGCTGTTTCACGGATTGCGAAGGCTTATTGCATTATGTAGTTATGTACTTATTTTATTTCAAGTCGAGCGTAGGTATCTATACTAAATATAGTGTTTATATTTTTCATTATATTTGACAAAAATTTTTGGTAACTAAGTACAATGTTTTTTTCATTATAAAAATTTTCTAAAAAGAAGTAATATATTTATTTAGGTTAGCTGCCTTTCATATTTTGACATATTATTTGTATAAACTGAAATGGTAATACATATTTAAATGTTAATATATGAACGTATATGTATGTACATACCTAGGTACCTACATAAATAAACGTGTACTTATAACTCGGTCATACATAATAAATTTTAATTCATGCATACTTTTTTTTGCTGTTGTTGCTATTTTGTTTTAGCGGAACGACAATAGAATTAATAGGTTTTTTGCCAGTGCTTGACCTACGACTTTGTCCATGACGTTTCCTATTATCAGTAGCCGGACAATATTTAGTTGTTTTTGTTAATATAAAAGAAAGATACCTATGAAGGAATTGCCATAGACCTTTGTGTCAATGAAATCGCTATAGAAGGTATATCTACATACATATATGAAGAAATCATCCATCATAATTAATCTCTCGAAATACCGAATATTTTTAAGACGATCATTGACATTTCGCGCTTAAGATACAATCAACACACAAGCATAAATCGTATATGTACATATGTACTCCAAATATTGTTAAAATGTATAAATACCTAATTAAATATTGATATTGAAAATGATAAAATTTCGATGTAAAGATCTTTTTTACCCACATAAAATTTTGTCCTAACAAAACATTTCATAGTTTAGGTGCGTAAGCGGCACAACAAGTAACGTTTTATTTAATCTATTTACATATTTTAATACTTTTTTTTAAATAGGTATATTGTATTAACCTCGCTGATTAACGACATGAGAATTATCCATTCGGTAAATGATTTCTAATTTGGGATATAACGAAGACTTTTCTAAATGTATAAAAATAGTTCAACTTTAAAATTCTTATAAAATGGTCCAGTTGCAGTCCATGTATTTTTATGGCAAAGTTTAGCAATCTGTGTCGTCCATGGGCACTAGAAGAGTTTCAAGAAACATTGGACGAGTTTGTAATTTAACAAATTGCTTTGTGATATTATTTAAATTTCAATCTTGTTATTTCGACTTTTAGGTACATATAGGCCTGTGCCTTTGTTGATGGTAAATGTATCAATGCTTTTTCATTAATCCTAGTTTGAGTAGCATTAGGTTTCTAATATTCGGTTGCTAATGTGTTAATTAAGTTGGTCGCCCATTCAATGCAATAATGAAACAAAATCACAGATTTTTTAATTTGTTATCCTATTAACTATGCTGTTATTTCCAAAGATACTAAATACTTAATATCTTATTTGATATTTTTGTACACAAATTACTTTTTTCAAAAAATAGCTAACTAATTTACGTCCTTAAAACATGTCTTCACAAAACGAGAATCTTTCAAATTTCAAAAATTAAACATTAGATTTTTATAATTTGCAAAAGGATTAAATTTGACTATTTTTTGAGTACCCAATTGCCACAGAAATGTTATCAACATAGGAAATCATTAAAAAAGTTAATATTGAATAGGTAGTAAGATAATATTACTTACAGGATGCATATAAAGCACTAATCATTTGATTCATCCGATCATGGAGAGCCGCCATCTGAAATGACACCATAAATATTAAATTCGCCATTTTGTAGATCACCCATATTTGTGAATTGTTTCTTAGGCTTGGCTTTTTTTGTGTTTGTGCATTTTGTAGATCACCCATATTTGTTGAGGAATTGTTTCATAAAATAAATAAAAATACCCATGGAATTGTTATTGCTTAGATATCTAAAATTTCGCCTTTTTATGTGTTTGTGGCTTACTTGTCTTTCCTGTCATTAGGAAACACGAATTATAAATCCGCTTGTTTTGTTAATTTGTAAATTGAATACAAAGACAAGTACTTATAAAAATTAAGTACCTACGTATGATGCGGTCTTTGTTGAATTATTTGCAATTCGTACAATATTTAAAGTAGGTGACCTTTTCATCTTGCATTTCTTTTTATTCGAAGGGATCAAGGGCAGCTATACTATACTAATTTTACTTAGAACTGAAGAAATAACTTTAAAATTATCTTGTCAAATCAAAATTGGAAATTAAATCAAAAATAAATAAGTACTTACATGTGTTTGTGGAGAACAAGTACCGCTAACATAGCCAAGTCCAATAGACAATGCACTTAATTTTATTAATAACCTTAACATTTTGAATGTTCCGGACCTCACCTACTACAGAATCCAACAAGATGATGATCGAGTCCTAACTATGATATATAAGTATCATTTGAAGATCTAATCTGATGACAAACGTGATAATGATGAGAAAATGATCATGACTTGATAAGGACGATTGAGATAAGTGTGGTCTCTTCGCGTCCTATCTACTGGTTAGATTAGTTGGAATTAAATTTGTTTTTGATAATTTTTATTAAGACTTATTTCATTAGATAACTGGACATTTCATCTAGATAAATAGGTAATGAGTTATTTCTTTAGATAATACGAGAATGCCCATGTCATTAAACCCATATATTGTACTAGTTTTTGTGCATAATGATATAAAATAAATAAATGATATGTAACATATTTATAATAGTAACAAGTTGATTAATTTACAATAGTTCTATGTAAGACATTTTAATTTAAGATTTGATGGAACTTAGTAAAACAAGAATAAATTTTAAACAAATGATTCTTTACTATTTAACAATTTTAACAATATAGTTAGAAACTAAAATACATCTAATAGTGTGTTTGAAATAAATCTACATTGTATTAGTACTTAAAATTAACTAAGTATAGCATTATCAATTCAAAATAACAAGCGATGTAGAATTTTAAAAGATTTTTACAATAAAATTACTGTGCTATGTACTTGAAGAAGGTCAACTAAGAATATATCGAATACTAGGTATCTCTACTTGTACGAAACCATACGACGGTGGTTTTGGTCTTGGAGAAATGAAAGAATGTCTAGCGCTCCCGAATAACTGTATTTATTTCAAATTTACAAGTTATCGTGCTAACAATTTCTAACTAATTCTCACAAAATTATTAAAATCAAAAAACACCTATACTTTCCGATGTAACGAAACCATAGCGCGATCTATTTCGATCCCAACGCCATCTAGGGAAGCAAAACTCAAACTTTTAATTAAATGTCTTTTCGGATCGCGCTACGGTTCCGCTTAACACCGTAAACACTACTCAATATAATTACTATGTTCAACACTATCGGGGATATCGTCAACATTATCTACTTTCGAGTCACCTTCGGATAGATTAGAATTTTTAGCCTTAGCGACAAGAATCTCTACTCCAAGTAAAACAACTGAGAGGAAAGCTCCAAATATAGTGAGGGCCAGTAGGGATGCGATGTCTCCTAATTTGACACGCTCGGCGAGGAGTGAGGCTCTGCAGGGAGGTTGAGGGATCCTCAGCCTCGCTACCAGTCGCTTCCCTAACCCGGTCTCTAGTAACCAACCTCCAGCTGTGCGCAGAACTTCAGTCCACTGACCATCTTTGGTTGATATTATCCAGGTTAAAGTCTGGAGAAGAAAAATTGTGTTAGTGTTAATAAGTAAAATGTTTCCGGAACATTTCTGTTATTTTTAATCGACTTCTAAAAGGAAAAGGTTTCTCAATTCAACCGTATATGATATTTTGGGCACACAAACGGATATAATATAAATTCAATTTATGGCCCCAAATAATTATTCCAATTTGAATGTATGTATCGAAATTAATTTTTGTTGTATTTGTTGACCACGTTTCCACGTTTCTTATATCTTGATTATTTTCATAAATGCAAAATATTACACATACATACAACACACCACTCTTAAAATTTTCTGAAGCGTTTAAAATATTTATTTTGGCTATGCACCCGAAACAGTCTATATGTTTCGTGGTTTTGGATAATGATTAGCGGTAATGAAAAGATACCCATAATTACGTTTAAGTAAAACGAATTGTCTAATGGAGCTACATTTACTAACCTGCTTTACAGTTTAGCAGAAGCAATATTTTGTAAATTTATTGTTATTATAAACGATTAATAACAAATTTTATGTGTACTTCGATTTTGTTCTATTGCTATAGGCCGCTTTTTATCTACATAGCACGCGGGCGAAGCCGCATGCGGAAGCTATTTATGAATAATCGCTTTTTCATTTAATTTCCATTTCATTTAATGTCATTTTATTAATTCATTATTAAAGATCGTCAACTAATATCCTCTTTACCTCAGGAATAGTGTCAACATGCTGCAGTTTGCAAATCTGCTCATCACTGAAGGTCTTAAAGTGCGGGTAGATCTGGTTGTACTCGCTGTGGAAGGCAGTGCTGCCCTGCCTTATGAGCTCAACGCCCCGTTTCAGTTCCTGGTAGAACTTTGACGTCTTTTTCTTCTTCTTCAAGTATTCTAAGTCGTCCCATGTCGTTTCCACCTGTAAGCAAAATTTTAGTTTTTTTCTGCTTAATTTAATTAAATTGACTGAGGCAAATTGAATAAACACAGTTTTTTACTGCAATGTTATGTCTAAATAGATGTTCAAAACTATGAATTGAGTTTGCGAAATAGCAATTTATTTTCTATTCTGGCTTAAACGAAATAGGTATCCTACCATTATAAGCATGAAGCAAAGAAGAAACGTGACATCGCATCATACATCGTACAAAATTCACACAAAATCTCGACGGTCGGGTCTAAATTGTTAACTTTCAATAATGTTTTCATATTCACAGTTTATTGATGTATTGAGGTTTAAGATATTGATTTGTAAATACAATAACTTATATATAAAAATTAATTGCTGTTCGTTAGTCTCGCTAAAACTCGAGAAAGGCTGAACCGACATGCCTTATTGTGGTTTTGAAATGCAAGATATACCGGGAAGGTTTAAAATGCTGCTTTGCTGGGACAGCTAGTTCATTTATATGTATATACTAGCGGCCCGCCCCCGCTTCGCACGGGTCCTACTATCTCGCTATCAAAGGGTCACTTTTCTTAATCTTCCCCTCTTCTTTTCTAATATTTTCTGTGATAAGAACCTTCTCCTTACAATAACAAACACAACACAAAAAGAATTAGCAAAATTGGTCTAGGCGTTGTTGAGTTATGCGCTTACCAACACATTTTGCGATCCATTTTTATATAGAAGAAGATTTACGGGAAACTTACATCAAAGAACAAATATCGCATGTAATCGTAATCTTCTGAAGCAATCGCATATTTGGAGTCTCCGAGTGCCCTCAGCGAGTCAGGTCCACCCCGGCCTGTGCTCATTAGAGCAGAGACTATGGCTGACGTGTAGTACGCATGCACTAACATAGCGCTCACTGATAGAACAGTGAATGCACATCTGCCTGATGCACCTACAGGTACCGCACTAGCGTCTATTGAAGAAAAAAATATCATATTAATACGGTAAAAGATGTTATAGGAATTGATGTGTGTACCACAACATGAAAACAGATGAAAGCAGATGTAGTGAATCTCAATAAATTGATTAAAAAGGCAATGATCAAATAACAAATAAATTTGACGCAAGAACACTGTGACATCATAGTTTAGAGTTTTATATAAAATTCATAAAAGTATCGTTTTGCCATTTAGATATTGAATTTGTTTTTTTTAATAATATAAATTAGTGCTAGTTGGAAACCACCGCATTGTTTCATTTAATATACAATGATGGGATAACATTTTTACATTATGAAGAGTCAAAATATAACACATGCTGACCTTGCTGCAACCACGTAGTTAGAACAGTGTAGAAGGCGCCATCCTTCTCCATCGGGGTTTTCGACGTGACCCTTTCAACGAGCGCTAGGATGGCCATCATAGCGAGACAGGACCACCATACTCCTGGAGAAAACGGCTCCAAATACATGTTGCTGCTACTTTCACGCTCTGCTAAGTACGTGAACCCTACCCTGAAGAGGAAAGATTGAATAGCACCTATCGCGAGACATATGTAGTAAAAATATTTAAAATAATAATAGTAAATAATCGGCATGGTGACGCGCACGCTGCTCATGAATATTCATGAGCAGCGTGCGCGTCCCGTTGTAACTTGTTATTAGTAGAGATTTTTTCAGTTAATTCACATTAGTTAGTCGTTATTTTTAAATAAATTTAGGATATTAGACTGAATTGAAAAGCCTCAATAAATTATAGAGAGAGTGTGGGAGAGTCATGCTTCGGCCCGAATGGGTCGGCCCGACTGGACTGATACCACGGCCTCGCAGAGAATCGGCGTGAAATAACCACAGCATTGTGTTTCGCCGTGTGAGTGAGGTTACCGAGGCTCCATCCTGCCCTTGTCCATGGGCGGCGCTGATTGCTAGTTTGCCGTCCTATCACATAAAAAATCTAAAGAATACCTAAAAGGCCAAATCGGCATAACATAGTCTAGTGTAAAAGTCCTTTCATAGAGGATCCGCAGTATTGCCCCGGAGAGATCAGCTTCGCCGGTGGTCAGCATTACGTACATACTGTTGTTGTTGATCATGGCTGCCCAGAGCTCATTCTCTATCAAGACATCTCTGAAATATATCATATGCTTGACTTTATGACAATATTATTTAAGTGTGTGAGCGCCAAGCTTCAGCACGAACGGTCAGGCTTGACCTGAATGACATAAAAAATGGGCTTGAAACAACCACAGCGTTGGGTTTCGCTGTGTAAGTTAGTTTATTGGAGGCCAAATCATTCCCCATTCTCATCCCTAAATCTCCAAAAAACCTTAGTCTCTCGTAACTCCTTTGGAATACTTTTGAGTGATCAAAAAATTTTTGTTCCGTGTTCTCGATTTGATGTGTATGTTTGTAAACGCACCTACGATACAGAAGAAAACTCTAGCGTGAGGCAAAGTGTATAAACAAATACTCGTCGGTAGAACATCCTCGTTTATTGTAATTAAGAAAATAAATAAACAAGTCGTTGACTTTTGCAACCTTTCATTTAAAGTGAAACTTTGAAACACTTACTGAGCATTAACGACTTCAGTGAGAAGCATCGATGTACCATAGCCACTACGGATGCCAGGGTCCTGGTCTGAGATAGACTCGTCTTCCAAAAAGTCAACGAAAGTTCCATCGTATTTATCACTGCTGTAATGACCTACCTGGAAATCAAGAGCCAGTTAATAAAATAGACGGTTTTTTTTTTAATTTTTCAGTCACTTATTACTTACTTGGCTTTTACAGAGCTCTATACTATATTTTTACATTTTAATTAACTTTTGAATTTATTTGCACGTTTGACGCAGGGTCTGGGTGCTATGCAACGGGTGGTTCGATTCCCGCACAGAACTACATTTTGTGGATCTCACAGATCCAACTTTTGTTTCGGGTCTAAGGAGCTAGTTTATGGAAATTGGAATATTTGTAAACTCAACTACGACACAAGAGAAAATGATAGTGTGGAGCTTATGATAGGTACTTATGATCGATAATTTCCATGATAGATAATAATATTTTTTTTAAATTCATTAATTTGCAAAGATAAATACTTGAAGTAATGAATTTACTTTTGTTAATAGGCGATATAAACGGACTTTTTACAAGTCATTTAGTCAATTAGGCTTAACCTATCTGACTACTCCGAGAAGAAATGTCGACACTAACTCATGGGTTTATAATGTTTGACATGTGTATTGGAGTGTTGCAACTATGTGATAAATTAGTTTCTGAGCTGAAGCTATAAATTACTGAGAAAGCGGCAGGCATGACAGAATGATATGCAATATTTTTAAAGAAAATGAGGCCTTATTAACTTTATAAGTACATACTGGAGTCGCAATCCTCAAAGGATATTTCTTCAAATCCAGCCGCCTTAGTATCCTCTCTCTTTCATGTGTCAAAATTAGACCTGAAGCATTAGTCCAATGAGCCCAAAGGTTTATGGAAATCCCATCTCGAGGGTGCACGTATGCGTCGTAAATATGTACTGGGGTTACTGCTTCTGACGTTATTGCTAAAGGAAATTATGAAAATAATAATAAAATAAATACCCAATTAGTGGATAGGTCGTCAATATCGACAGCTTGCTATGAATTTGTGTTTGTGTGTGTGACGTCACGTATATTTGCGTCAAATACCACAGCTATATTTATCTTATCTTTTATAACAAAAAAATGGAAGTAATGTGTAAAGGTGGAAATACGTTGGCTTGTCTTGGCGTAGTATGTTCAAAACACCACTGTTTCATATAGATATATATTGTGTACCTATGTTTATCCATAATAAATGTAAAAAAAAGCTTCTGGTGCGTTACGACACGTTAATATGTTTCGGTCTTAAATTGAATGTTACAATAATTTGTGCACCTCTGCATATTCTTTCGGGGAATATAAACATGATATTATGTAATGAAAAGTAAATAAATGTAAAAATACTGCAGCAACAGTGGTTTGTTTTGTCAATGAATCATGCTGTCATTAATTTGATTCAACCGTCAATTTACTGACCCAATAAAATACTAACATTATTTCCGACTTGTTAGATTGTTATTTAAAACAAAATGTATTAATTATATATCTTTGAATACATTAAATAACTATACATAAAGAAAATTTATCATATTGAAAATTAAGTTACTTACCTATTCTTATGTTTCAAATTTAGGTTAACATAAATTGTAGTAAAAAATTACACTTTAATTAATAGACTTTTTGACTTGCTATTATTTTGTAGCTAATTTTCAAGAAATAATAAGTATGATATTAGACTTCCCACACAACATTTCTAAAAACCACCGCTTTTAGGACACTTTTCGAATCGATAAAAAAGTGTGTAATTTGAATAAAATATTGAATTTGATTGTTCTATTGTTTGTTGTCAAGTAACCTGTGCCTAAGTTGGTTGGTATATAATATTACTTACATACATATACAAGACATGTAATATGTAATCCACTTTTCGCCGAATGAGTTCAATGCACTTACAAAATATGGGTTGATAAAACTATTGTCCTATACCTAGTGGACTCAATGCCAGACTCCGAACTATTAAAACTATGTATATTTAAAAAAAAACCAAAACCCAGAAATCTTTATAATAATTTTTCAGAATCGCACCTAGTTGCGAAAGTCAAACACTATAAGGCCCCGGCCAGAAGCAGGAGAAGATACGGGGTAGTTTTTAGTCAGCAAGAGTGAGAGAGAATTCGCCTTACCCTAGATGGGCTGGAAGCTCTGATGAGCTGAAGTCATAAAGAGCCTGTTGATATAAAGTAACTTTCCGTGGCTGCAAGTACCTACATGTACACCTACCAGTAATAGCTCGTGTTCCATTATTCTTCACAAAGTTGCATTCGAGGAAGGCCATGTCGGAGTCGTACCGAATCTTCCGCAACGCGTCAGGCACGTGATCGCCCACAATCAGCCATTTGTACTTCATCATAAAATGTATCCCTTTCATCTATAGACGAACAAAAACAATGATATTATAAGTAAAAAGGTGTAGATAGGTCATAAGCGCTAAGCAAGTGATACATTAAAGTGTGGGTAACTAGCCACACTTTTTAATATTTGTCTCTTTTTCACTCGCGAATATTGAATCATGCCATCTCACTTTGACGTCTAATCATACGAATTGTTAATGTGTGCAACCGTGTGCCGTTTTTGAAAATCGAATGTTGTTTATGTAACCTCTCTACACCATTTTACTTTTAATATCATTGGATTTAGGTGTGCTCCTTCAGGTGGTTTTAGATGATCAAAACAAAATGAAAAGCAAGCAATTATTTATCTTCTCTGAAATTAAACTACTTATAAAGGGTTGATAATATTCAGAACCTTAATAATATGTAGTTAAATTCCGTGCAATAGACAATAAAATAGGTTTGTACATATGCTCTACACATTATTGAGTCTATACCTTCAACCGCGGCTGGACTGTACATACATGCCTAGTTTCTACCTGTTGTTACCTAGGTAGTTTCTTTTTTAAATTTTACTAATTTAATTTTACTATGTACATTGTTCCTGAGCGTACGGCGCTGTAAGCTGAGATACAGGCTCACGCCTAGTTCGGCTACAGATTGCTACTTCTCTATATTATAGGTAAACTGTCACCATAGTTTTTTTTTTGTAGGAACTGTACTGTACTGTTGTTTTGGTATAAATAAATAAATTATGAAATTAATAAATCTACGAGGCTATTACGTACGGTAAATCTTTCAAATTTTATAATAGGATTTACAACATAATTGCATGTTACAGTTCATATTATGTGTACCTAACTTAAATTTTAGTTTTTTATAATTAAATTATGAACTAAAAAACAGCCACACCCACAACACCAGAGAAGTCGTTAGTTGTTTATTAATAATAATTACCTTTTTAAACATGGGCATGTCATCATGTTCATGCGTCATGTAGATTACTCCTTGCAAATAGTGGTGACGAATGTGATCAAGAATGGCTGGATCGCAGGAGAACATACTGCTCATTCCAAACTGCGATAGTTCCCGAGTGAACTTTATTTGGTCTGAAATAGAGTTTAATGTCGAATGACTTACCTTCTTGATGGCCTTGTAGTTTCTTATTTTTCGGGCGACCTTTCTTAGTTACACGACTATATTGATAGGATTTGAAATACAGTCAGAATCTTGCTGCATACATCTATTCGCTAAATGCGTCGCAGAATATACCTTGCTTAATGTTAAAAAAATTTAATGCTAGTGACGCAATGAGCAGAAAAACTTGTATTCATAAATTTCCAAACACGCTAGGGTACTAATCATTTTTTACACTTTATACCAAATATTAACTAATAAAAACAAAAGTAAAAAAATACTAAACTTTTAAATTACGCATTATTAAAAATAAGATGAAAGATAAATGAAAAAAACAAATGCGACTCATATTTTATTCTTTATGTTTTTTCTTTTTATGGCTGCATTGGCCACATAGAAAGTCTTTCTTACTAGCCATATACAAAGTAATCGATATAAAACCTCTGTGGTTAATATTTGTATTAAATAAAAATATATTTTGTTTTCTTGTACTGATATTAAATAATTTTAATCCAATAAACTAATCCTTAGTTGAATTCATACTTATCGTTGGTGAAATGAAATTAATTAATGTAATTTACCTGAGGGAGGCCAGCATGCCAATATTATAATGCTACTAACAACCTTGTGTTTGAAAAACTCTACAATTGCTTGAGCCAACATAGTACTGGCCATCTTTCGAGTTAAATAAAATTAATAGTTTGCGATTTAAAGCAAAATCAATTTATATTGCCATTTATTTGTGAGACAGTCGCGAACATATTTATTTAGGTACTATCATATTTGTCGGATTCGGTATATTGTTGAAGTAATTTTTCGCAACAGTCTTATTGACACAATCTATGACAATTTTCTTAAAGTTAACATGTTTATTCTTGCGAATAAGAATAAATAATTGCTTAATAATACGCTCCGGATGTCTAACAAAACTAAGACAAATTTGCTGAAAACTATAATAAAGGTTTTCGCAAATATTGAAACTTTAAATATGTATTGCAGTTTCTATAACTGCAATAAATTGTATGCAAACGAATATACTTACTTATAAATCGAATGTTTTGTTGTTTTGTCTGTACTATTGCATGTAAAATTCAGCTAGAACAATTTGGGCGTGTATTCGCCAAATAGCAGGGTTCTTGCAAATTACTAGGTACGGTACCATAACGAGCACTTTCATGAAACGCTGAATAAAACAAACATTTCCATGAGCCAGTGTATTTATTTATGTGAACGTAAAATAAATAAAAACTAAACTATAATACATATAATTGAGAACATTTTAATAGTACTTCTTGAGGGAACATGGGCAGGGAGCCGGCAGTTCCAGAGGTTTTGGCTCCAAGGTAATGGGTATCGGTGGGGCCACCATGTACGCCGTCATTGGATACCCTGGGGGAGCTGGAGGAGGAGGGGGAAGACAGGATGGTGGCGGAGGTGGAGGGGGTGGTGGAACCAGTGATATAACCAGGGGAGCAGGAGCTGCTGGTGGTGCAGGAGGTAGACAGAGAGGGGCTGGCGGAGGAGCAGGCAGATAGATAGGCGCAGGTGGTGGCGGCGGCAACATCAGCGACGGTGGCGGCGCTGGCAACATCAGCGGTGCAGGAGGTGCTGGTAAGCAAACTGGCGCAGGTGGAGGAGCGGGTATATATATCGGGGCTGGAGGAGGAGCAGGCAGGCAGACTGGAGCAGGGGCAGGTGGTGGAAGACACACTGGTGCTGGTGGAGGAGGCGCCAGGAGTATAGGTGGTAAGGCTGGGGCACATGGTGGGGCAGGAGCAGCGCATGGTGGCGGCGGTGCAGGCATCAGCATTATTGTAGGAGGAGGTGGCAGCGGCAGCTCAGCACAACATGCCTTCTTATCTTTTTCTGGAAACAAGAAGAGAATTTTAAATATGATTTTGAGGCAAATTGAGAATTAGATGTCTGAAAACGTTTGTTTCGAAAAATGATTCTAAATGTGTCATTTGTCCAAGACAAATACAAAAGCAGATTTTTTTATTTACAGACAAATATTTTTGTTGTTAATAGTATCAATGGTCCATGGACCATGACATCCTAGAAGTTCGACTAGAGAATACAACTTACCGAGCAATTTCGTAGCAAGAAGTGGCTTCAGTAACCTGAAAGATTTCAACATAAAAAATAAGTTTATAATAAAAGTAATAAATAATATTCCGAGAACTTTATAAAAGTTTACTTACGAAGCCATCACTGCTTTCTTGCATTCTTTCATTTCCTTTAATGCTTCCAGCTGCAAAAAGAGAATGTATTAAACAAAGGTATTTGAGATTTGGATGTCTTTTTATCGTAGTCAAGAATAAAATGAATAGTTACATTGTTCCAACTTTAAATATTGTGCTTCGGTAGATCTTTTTTTTTTTTTTGGAATGGGCAGACATTTGGCCGCTGTCACGCCTGGTGGTAAACGATAATGCGACCTACGATGGACCATGCCTAACCATAAGCAACCTATTCACTCTGACCTTGAAGACGCACAGGAACCTTAACTTAAACTTAATTATTAATGATATATTGTAATCGTAACGTACCAAGCAAAGGCCTTTCTCGTCGCAGGCGTAGACATAGCAGGACGAAATCAGAACGATTCCTATGGAGGACCAAAACAGTTTTTGACCCCCCATGTTGGGAAGTTCACGAAACTATACCAAAACAATTTATGGTTCAGAAAACTTATTTCTATTCGTATTTAAAGCGTTACTTTTGTCATCAATGTTACGTGGTTATCGTTAGAAATTTTATCTAGGTGTAATGTTAGTACTGATAGGAGGAAGTTTTGCAATTGGTATCCTTACTTTGGATAAGATCGGACGTGGTGATAGCTTACTAGGAGCTTCTTATCGCCGAATGCTATCATTTCAATATGTAATTGTTATATTATGACGAGTGACAGTAAATTATTGTGTGTCGTTTTGTAATATTAATGATCGTGTTGGGTAACTTTAGAAATAATCATGTAAGTTATTTTTATGACTAAACGGTAGGACTCTGATATTGACTGATGTTGGTTGCATTTCTTTGATTTGACCCTTATTAATAATATTGTTGACTTCATCAATTTTGTCGTTTTTGCATTTCTTTATGAATTCATCTTTTGTATCAATCGAGGCAGCATCCACGGTACAAATGGGGTGATTGGTAATTGAAGTCTTTATAAACAAGAAATTAGACAAGCATGGTGTTTTGTAAGTGTTATTAACTCCCACAGATATATTTTTTTTTATTTTTATTTTGTATCTTTGCAATTAACTAATTATTTGTTTATAGTTTACTAGTTATTAAACGAAAGAAAGTTGATAAACATGTAAATGCTTACGTAAGAGTATCTATTATTTATCCTTCCTCGTAATATTGTTTTGTTACATATTTAGTTACACGAGAACTTATATGCTATGTTATAAAATATTCAAGGTATAAAGTATAAGTTTTTTCGACTTATTTCGTTTAATAACTTTGCCTCACATTAGGATTTTCCCCTGTGTCGTAGCTGCGTTTACAAACATTCAATTTCACATACACTTCACACCCAGACCCGGAACAACAATTTGTGGATAACGGCGTGCGGGAATCGAATCTGCGACACGTTGCACGGCAGCCAGTTGTCCAGCCACAGCGCGAACCGTGCAGTCAAAAATTGATTACTTATAGTAAATTACATATAACGTTATTGAGTACTTGCCACTTATATAGTTAAATTAAATTATTACAGGGGTCGTCATCGGTTTTTATGACGCTTTTACGGAATTTTGTTGTGATTATAACTGGCTATAAGCAAAGTTAAAAAGTATTCCTAGGTATTCCTTAAAGAATACCAAGAAAAATGATAAAGTATACCGTAAAAGCATTTAATGAAAGGCAGACTATTCTTATATTTGTTAATAATTGAATGAAACGTATAATATAGCTCATTCAATTATTTTTTCAATTCATTCCATAGGACTTTTTTTCCTTTTTGTTCTTGCTTCGATGTCTATTGTACGTGTCTATACCTATAGTCATGTGTGCAAACCCTTATTATTTTGCAATAGATTTGAAAATAAATTATTTAGTGAACCGTTATTGGCTGGTACCACCTACTACTTAAAAAATAATTGAAAAACAAATAATTTTAATATTCTACTTCGTTTAAACTTGTTAATCGAGTCAGAATAAAAATGAAATTACTAACTCGATTAATGTAATACTAGACTTTATTTGTCTCTAAATTATCGATGAACATGAAATTTTTTTTATGGAATAAGTCGGCAAACGATTAGACGGATTACAATGATGTGGTGGTTTCACGCTGGTTTTCTGTGAGGCCGTGGTACCACTCCGGTCGAGCCGACCCATTCATGCTGAAGCTTGGCTCTCCCACACTTTAATATTAATAGTTTATGTACTTCTATAAGTTTAATAGAATTATATATTGATTTACTTCCATATTAAGCTTATGGCTTGTGCCTGTGTGTCTACAATTTTTTTTGAGGTTTGGGTGCTATTTCTCCCTTGAAGTAAAATTAAAAACTTTAATAAGTAATAAACTACCTATTTCCAACAAATACTATTTTTGGACATTGGCTCAGTGAAAGTAATGATAATTTAATGCCATCACTTCTTGAATCACAGAGTTACTGTTGTCTAAGATCATGCATTTGTTTGTTATTGTTTTGTTTTGTTTATTTGTTGTTATAAACAATAAAGTGTAACGTGTTTAATCTTCTTACTAGGTGAGATTGTAACACAATGGTGTTATTCAAACATCTGTCTTTATATAAAGAGATGTGTCGGTGATTGAGTTTTTGTTAATCAGTTACTGAAACAAGATGGTCGAAAGAAGAGAGTGTACTGTTCACAAAATATTTTTTGTAATCTTAGCTACACTTGTAAGTATTTATGGACTTATTACAATTTCAATTGTATTCATATTAAAAACTTGAGTGTGAAAAAAGTGTGAAGTAAAAAAGAGTTGCTTTCTCGTGGGTTTAAACAGAAAATAACCGTTAATATATTGTTTGTTGATATAGCATATTTTGAATTTAAAATATCCTCATAAAATTATTCATTTGTCAATGATTGTCAAAAAAGTAGCTATGTGGACGGTTTTAAAAATTAAAAATTTTGTTTTTAAAATAAAAAAGTGTTTCAGTGTTAGTTAGCTGGTTTTATGTATAAACACAACGTATTGCACCCTTATTCAAATTTCATATTCGTGTGAAACAAAATTATGAAAACTTAATTTATCAGGGAAATGCGTATACCTTTATACACGTCTGTTGATATCAAAACAGAATTGCAACTCTGTTTATTAGAAAGGCTAGTTCCACTCAAAAATTGTAGTTAAATATATAAACTTATACTTAAGTACCTTTAAAACAATTTAATTCCTTTTTTACAGATTTCATCATCATACTGTTTAAAAGGGGGCTTAATAGCAGGCGAACTGAAACGGCTTCGTCCGACGGTCATCAAGAACTTCTCCCAAATCTCCCCGGTATACATCAACTTCAAATCTGAAGACAAAACTCTTGCCAGGGAGTTCTTCAACACACTGCACGCCAAGCCGCCAATGAAACGTTGCATAGACAAACCTCCACCATCTAAAAAGTATCAACGATCCATATTTTCGGTGCCAAAATTGCCTTTTGTGTCTAATCTTCTGCCTTTGATACCAAAATCTCCAATCTTACCATTGATGCCGAGCTGGTTTCCTCCTCCTCCCCCATCCCCAGTGAGCCCTCCGTTAACTACATTGCCTAACCTCTTTAAATTGGACACTAATGAATCAGGAATCCTCGAAAAACTGATTAAGCTGAAGCAACAAGGCTTGTTAACTACGGAAGAGTATGTAAAATTCAAATATTTGCTTCTTAAGAAATAATTTTATATTGGATAACGATCGTTTTCTGATGTAACATTAACAGAGTAGCTGTGTAATTGTAATATGATAGATGTATGTTTACGTTTAAAGTGTAGGAGAGTCATGTTTCACTACTGATAGGCTGGTTACACTGGATAGATACCACGACCTTGTAAAAAACCAGCATAACTAACTAGTATTGTGTCTTGCTGCTGCGTGAGTGAGGTTATAGGAGTCCCGAACCTCCCTCTTTCCCCTATCCCCAATACCCAAATCCCAAAAGATCAGCGCCGTACTTGTAACTCCTCTGGTGTTGTGAGTACCCATGGGCGGCGTTGATTGCTTACCAGAATATCATATCACATATCCATATCATAGAAAAGATATAGTTTTTGATTCATTTAATAAATTGCGGTACAAACACATTCATTGTTTTGTTTCTTTTATTACGTTATACACGTGTTTCTTGTGTTGAAACAAAGTAATAAAGGTATAACACAAAACTAGGTAGTTTGGAAATTATAAGTTTACTAGAAGATGGTCAAAAATGGCACCTAAATGGGCACCGATATATCAAATAGGTAACAAACAAAACAAGAAAAGCAAAAACAAATTATAAAAAAGGTTTATTTAAATAAATACTTATATTAACTACAGGTTATATAATACTATTTGAGCTTGGCCGTCTTGAATTTGTCGACGAGGGTGTTAAATCCTCTTACAAACATGTCCTTGGCCTTGTTGAAGTATTGTATCAGAGGGTATGCGAAGGGCCGGTCCTCCGCGCGGCATCCGAAGCAAATTTCCGACCGACGAGGACGCAGTAGCGAACCCCTTACAAAGCTGCTGCCCTGGAATTAAAATATTTACTTTAAGACATAGGATTATTAAATTTTATTCCTCCAAAGTTAATATTGAGTTTCGTGGAGGTTCTGAACTAGAAAAAAAATAATTTGTACATTTTTGCTATTATAGGTATGCAAAGCGATGAATAAATATTTGTTGTGGACGTGCCTTTTCTATAAAACAGTATCATTGCTAATGCAATTAAGTTATAATTAATATTATGACTTTTTTACTTAAACCAAAAAGAGACATAGGTATTTTTCTAGGTACAAGTTTTACTTTACAAAGGAACTTACAAAACATCACGACTCTTATGTTTTAAAAATGTTGGCAATGGTAATAATTTTGTAATATATTTGAACAAGGCAATATAGAAACATATTATCATTTCATCCCATACAGGTATCATGGAAACCTGATTTGTAATTTCAGCAGCTGAAACCTTTCCTTTTTTCTTTGTGGTGAGAAAACAATCAAATGACTTCTTTTGCCCAGGGTGGGGCGAGAACCCTATCACCGTGTCAGACTCTTACTGACTAACAACCAATCCGTTTCTTCTCCTACTCCACTAACCACAAACTACGTTGGAGCTGCGGTACATTATTGAATTTGCACCCTCTCTGGCCTCAAAGAGCCAATAGTCCACCACAGACGGGGCCCTACAGGGCTGATGTTCAGCCGCAGTTGCGGGGTAAGCGCAATGCCGACCGCGACCTCGGCCCAGAGCAGGAGAAGGAACAGGGGGGTTTTTAGTCAGTAAGGATCTGACACTCCCTCCCGCCCGGCTCTGGGCGGGAGAAGTCATTTGATGATTTTCCCCTCACAAAAAAACCCTCTTATCAAGGATATAAGCTTCAGCCTTAGTTGCTGGATAAAACAAACAAAATTATAAAAAATAGTCGCTGAAATACATACATATACGAGTACATGTAATGTTTTCGAATTACTGCACTGAACTAAATTAGAATTCTGACTTCCGTTATGTCATTGCAAGGTCGTCTTTGTTTAGTCAGGGTTGCGGGGCAAGCGTAATGAGGTACCACGACCTCGGACCAGAGCAGTAGAAGGAACAGGGGGCTTTAAGTCAATAGAAGTCTGACACTCCCTTCCGCCTGACCCTGGGCGGGAGAAGTCATTTGATGATTTTCCCCTCACCCACTTTATATATGTATACCAAAATTAATTGCTGTTTGTTAGTCTTAGTAAAACTCGAGAATGGTTGGACCGACATAAGTAGTTGTTGGAATGTTGAAAATGTCAGAAAATATGATTCAGAAAAAAAAAGAAATTAGATTTAATTGAGGCAGTACCATGTTTGCCGGGTCAGTTATTAAAAAAATAAATATCATACCTCTACCGCAGTCACAACCAGTACAATGATCACTGCACACAAAAGACAGTTTCTTAATTTCATTTTCGTAATATACTTTTACGGCTAGGTACACGACTAGACTGCAGGCATAACAACTGCTGTACACCCAATGCATGGTGACTCTTATCTGTGATACGGCCTTATACACCTCCTTGGTCCATCTCTCAAACTGGGTGGACAGACACGTAGCTGTTGATAAGATGTTACCGACAATTAGATTCTTTGTGATTAATGCATTGAGGCCTTGAAGTAAAGAATCTTACGGATAGTAGGGCGACCATGGTTTTGATGTTTCGTTGATCATTTTGTTTTCTCACTTCACTTATCGAAGAGTTTTTATTTTTATTTCTGTGTTCTTGTCAAAAACAATCCCTAATAGAAGAAAATACTTTTTCCCAAAAAAGGAGAATAATATTGTTCCAGGTAAGGATATAATACATCGCAGTACAATAAAGTATGAAAATAACAATTCATTTATTTATTTACATAATATATAGAAAACCAACAGCGATACATGTAATACATTACAAAAAGAAAAATATACAGCTTAACTCAACTTGTATTTATAAATATATATTCATAAATACAAAAAGAATCAAATTATAATATAGAATATTCGAAAAATCAGCACGAATCGATGGTCACTCTATTGCAGTTATAAATTTCGCTGAGTTTGGTATAATCGCGAGCGCCTCTGCGAACGTGACGGATGCCAGTTTCGTTTAGACGCTAAAATGTCGTGAATGTGTGCAAGAGACGATGGGTTACGTGGCTGAAGCGTTCGTATGGTTGCTAGTGGTGGTTCGTATTCAGTGTGTTTTTTATGAAATAATCAGGCCTTTGAACAGATGGATCACTTGATGGTAAGCAAACGACGCTACCAATGGACCCCCGCAACGCCAAAGTTACAAAGGGGTCATACTATAGGGCATTGCTGGCCTTTTGAGAATTTGCAGATTGGGATGTAGGGATTTAGCTATAGCAGGGAGAAGGATTTTGCTCCAATAACCTTACTCACCGCAAACGTGGTTTCACCCTGGTTTTCTGAGAGGAATAAAGTGCAGTTGTTAGATTTCAAAATTGTATTTGTATTCTTTGTGACTAAAAGTATTTTAAAAAGGGAAACACGTAGTAAGTATATGAAGGTTTGTTTTGTGATATTTTGCGTTTATACGTTATTATTAGGTACTAGGAGAAATAAACATCGTAATTGGCAAGTTAATGTAGATTATCGTTACCGAAACTACAAAATAATGATTATATAACATGAAGTACTGTAATGTTTTCTATTCTCTAAACGTTTATGCAGAGATTAATATATTCGCAATACTACTACTACGTAACACCTACTTTTCGCTAGATAAGTTCTTAGTAATAGTAAAAATGCAAATTTGACCAACGTTTTCAGTTAAACTCAATTCTTGAAACTACGTTTCCATTCTGCGTACTAAGCGTACAGATAATCGCTAATCCCACTTATGATAGCACAGAGCTGGTTCCATAGTTTAGAAGAATTTGTTGAAAAAAAATACAACTCCCATTTAATAACAAACAGGGTACTTTCTGTGGGGATAAAAAATTGACAAATATACTTCTTGTTCTCTTCGCGGGATAGGAGTGTCAGACTCTTACAAACTAAGACCAGCCCGTCCCAACTATTGCCTTCAGCCGCGCTGGGCCCTCGGTATACGGTCCGGCAGGCGTACGCTGTGCGCGTTCCAAAATATAGATTATCCATGATTTTAACATAGCATTATGATGAATAAGTATATTATTAACTTCAATACTAACAACTTTAATTCTAATGTATTAATTGTTTCTTTCAGCTAAATTACGTAGCCAGCGCTCCGCAGCCCCCTCGCTTGACTATCGACTGTTCTGATGAAAGGGTAAGGTAAAATTCAAACACAATCATTTTCGTACATTATTAATCTAGTATGCTTCAGAAATTACAGTCTCCATGGAATAGTTATTTGGTATATTTTATAAGATTTACGGAAGGAACTAGCTAGTAAACAGATTTCGAAAATTGTATTTTCATACCTTCGACTTTTTACCGTTCTTACTTCGTACAGTCGCTTCCAGGCTATCTGATTACTTTCTCGTCTCCAGTCTCTGTCCATTCAATTCTCTTTTAATGAAATCAGCCATAATATCTTGGAACATAAGAGTGTTTAATCAAACTGTTCACATGTTTCAATCATAAATTGTTGTGTTCCAGGCTCCCTACGGTACTACATACAGGTCATCAGACTACAAAGGTAACTCTCGCTTAGACGTAGACTCGTTCTGCAACCTCATTCACGATGTCTTCCCAAAATCGATCCAGGGAGGGAAATTCCTTCTCATTGAGCCCGAAGACCAGACAGGCTATAGTGATACACAAGTACCAATATCAGTAGCACCACCACCGGACTTCATGGCAAGTTGGCTACAGAAACCACAAATACCACAGCTAAGAATCCCAACATTTAATGGAGTTAGGCTTAAGCAGCGGCCTGGGCCTTTCGCGCCGTCCAGGATGGGAACTTCGATGCTACCAACATCAGTGATGAGAATAGATTCCAGTGCAGAGAGGATGGAGAAGTTCAAGAAGGGTGTTCAGAAGATGCTGCATGTAGTGAAAGTGCTAGGAAAGATAGATCTGTACTTGTCAGAGAGGATGCGGATCATTGTTGACAAACTCACTAAGACTTTTGGCGAATAGAAAATAAATGGATTACTTTATATTTTTTTGCATATATTTTTTGTATACAAATTCTACCCAGAAGCTGCAGGCAGGGGTGCACATAATGATACATAATGCCACTTTCACAATGCGTCTCCAGTTTACACCAGTTATGTAATGTTGTATTAAGGGCGAGCTTGAGCTCAATTCAAGACATCGTTTTACTATTTTTTTTTTAGTACTGAAAGCACTGATTTCGCATTTCAATTGCTAAATGTGTTGCTTGCTAATCGCAAAACATTAACCAATTCGGCTAATTTCAGAGAAAGTTCTAAGTTAAAAAAAGTATCATGTGTAATTCTAACCCTTATTCCTAAAATAATAAAATGATAAGAAAAAATATATTTGTATATACACATTACTTTGCAAACTTCTGTCTAAAATTAGTACCTATGAACGAGATCCAGTAAGTTGTTTTTTAAGACCTAACTAACTTTTTATGGGCGTTCCCGAAACTTCCAAAACGAATGCATGACATCACATCCATTTAAAGTGTTTAAGCACTTAAAATCTTTGTTTTATTTTAATTTAAGCTTCCCATAAAATAATTGTGAAACCCTGTAAAACCAATTTTAAGATTCTTTTGCAACTTATGTTCCGTACATAGAAAACTATTTTTATCACACAATGCATAATTTCAATGAACCAGTAAGTATTTTTAATTCCATTAATTTGTTTAATTGCGCGGTGTGGGTAAAAATACAGACAGGCATAACAAAAAATGTGTTTTTTTAGGTGAAGAGAAAATTATCAGTTGACTTCTCTCGCATAGGGTATGGCAAGAAGGAGATTCTTACTCACTTATCTTATTGCACTGGACAATGATATTATAAGTAAAAAGGTGTAGATAGGTTACAAGCGCTCAGCAAGTGATACATTAAAATGTGGCTAACTAGCGACACTTTTTTCATATAAGTCTCTTTTTCATTCGCGATTCTTGAATCATGCCATCTCACTTTGACGTCTAAACATACGAATTGTTCATGTGTGCATCAGAGTGTCGTTTTTGAAAATCGAATTTTGTTTAGGTAGGTAACCTATATATCTACACCATTTTACTTATAATATCATTGGCACTGGACCCGCAACTCCTGGCAGACATCGGCAATGTTGGGCCCCATCTATGGTTGTCTATTGGCTCTAAGGCGCCCGCGCTACGCTACGCGCCTTACGCACCAGACTTGCTTGCAGACCGCAATCCCGCGCTTACGGTGGCCGGAGATCGTCGCTCGATGTTTTTATTTATAGACGTTTGCTCGTTACAATTTTATTATATGTTTATATAAGTAGGTTCTTTTTTGTAAATACACTATTCATGTAGGTACTGTGTATTCATTAGATTCTAAATATATCTTTATAGTAACACATAATTAATTTATTATTCATTTATTCCTTAATAATAAATTTAAACCAGCTTAGGTACTTTTGTTTTTTATTTTTTCTGATTAACTGATTCTTAATTTAGCATTCGAAGTTTCCGACAAGAACTAGTAATGGGCACTAAATATAGCTATTATTAACATTTATTACAATTACTGGTATTTTTTAAGCAAGTGCAACTTAAAAGTGTAAGGTCGGGTCATTGATTACAATATTATAGTACAGAATAAAAAGTGATAATATTCTTTAGTTCTTTGTACGTTACTTATATATACGACCCGTAGTGGACTATATCACCAGTGCCGTGGGTATGTTCCAAGAACACGTTTGATTGTTCACACCTATCTTCTTGACACGATATCAATTACGCGACGTGGGCATAAAGGTAAGATATTTATGTAAACCATTGCTATCTGTGTGCGTATAAACTACTACAGTTTTGTACAGTCTTCCCGACATGTCTGAATTTTAGAAGACACTATCGTCCTCGGTTCCTTAAGGCCCTCAAAGCGCCTCAGCGATAATCACCAACATTACACACTTCTACCATAATTTACTACTTATTTCTCCAATCACTCTATCTATCTAAAATCCGTTGCATAGTTTTAAACTTTTAAGCAACAAGGGACAGAGTTCATTGAAACGAATTTGTTTTTTACTATGTAGCGATGATTAAGTTATCTAGACGCAGAATTTTTGACCTCTTGTATCGACATCGTTAATGGAAACATGGAAGGGTATACGGGGTCGCGATACGTTATGGCTACTTTCCCGCAACCCTGGCAATACCAACATTAGTGATATTGTTGTGAGAATATAACAAACTCCTGGAGTTCTTTCCTTTCATCAGTCGGTTTCCGTCATCTGGGCTAGCAGATTTTTGCGAGTTGTGTTTTGTTACCTACGTAATTTTCAAGCATTGCCTCATACCAGTTAGTTGTAGAAGTTTCTCCCGTTGTGTCAAAGACTTACTCTGTGCGCCGTGCAGCCTCTGAACCAAACGAGCATACATATTTTAATGATCTAACAAAATCTTTACTTCTAGCATGGTTTTTAATCTTAATGACGATGGAGAGAGGGCTGGTGGCAACAATGCCACTACCGCTGAGACATCGAGCAATCGTGTCGTAGTCAGTGGCATGTCTGCACTCATGCCAGGATGCAACGACCTCGAAGAGTTCAATAAGAAACTTTATAATAAGGTAATTATATCAAAATATGGAAGTAACGACAGTTTTATGTCCCTGTTATAACCCTAACACACAAACTGTGTTTTTAAAACTGGGATAGTAAACTAAAATATTAACCGGTTTATCAAGGTACAAAAGCTAATATACAAATCTCACTTAAGCTTAAGACATATTGCACTTATTGATGAAAAATTAGTAAGTAATATTACTAGTAATGTAAAGCGTCAGAACTGCGGTACAGGCGGATGAGCATGTCTGTTCCACGTAGATTAAAGCCTGGCACTCCCACACATCAAACAATTTTTAAAATGTAATAGGTCGGCAAACGAGCAGACGGATTACCCGATGGTAAGCAATCAGCGCCGCTCATGGACACCCGCAACGGAGGAGTTACGAGTGCGTTGCCGACCTTTTAGGGATTAGGGATTTGGAGATTTAGGAACTGGGGAGGGATTAGGGAAGGGGAAGGATTGGGCCTCCGGTAACCTCATTCACACGGCGAAACACAACACTGGTTGTTTCACGCCGGTTTTCTGTGACAACTTTTAAAAACACAACATAAATCGGTTAAAATTAAAAAAAATATATCTTACGTTTTTAAACTCTGTGAATGCTATACTTACTGGTTCAATCTAATTTCTTTACAACAGGAAAATTTTGTAGTCAACCAGGAACCTCTTTGGCATAGCAATCACCCCGAGGTGACTCCGTATCGCGGGAAAATAGCAGACTTAGACCGTTTTGACGCGCAGTTCTTCATGGTACACTATCGGCTGGCACAGTCCTCTGATTCCACAAGCCGAAAGGTACTCGAACAAACTTATCAAGCTATCATTGATGCTGGTGAGTACTTTACGTGACCATTCCTACTTTTGTGATCTTATCTTTTAGATCCTAACGATCTGATTCAATGGGTTTGTTTACGGTGTTAAGCGGAACCGTAGCGTGATCCGAAAAGGCAGTTAATTAAAAGTTTGAGTTTTGCTTCCCTAGATGGCGTTGGGATCGAAATAGATCGCGCTATGGTTTCGTTACATCGGAAAGTATAGGTGTTTTTTGATTTTAATAATTTGAGAGATTTAGTTAGAAATTGTTAGCACGATAACTTGTAAATTTAAAATAAATACAGTTATTCGGGAGCGCGAGACATTCTTTCATTTCTCCAAGACCAAAACCACCATCGTATGGTTTTGTACATGGTCCTTCGGAGTCGGATAGTCAAGTCGCGAGTGGTGATTAGTGGTTCCGGCGGTGGTGATAATCCACCCTGCGTGCGTCAAATACTGGGCAGTGGATCGCTGTCCAGAGCAAACCCTCCCTCGGCGGGCACCAAGTGCGGTGACCGGAGATTGGGAGGCATCAGTGAAGTGCATCAGCTGTTGCCGAGAGCCGAGTAGCAGCCGGGAGCCAGACTGGTGGACGAGCAGCGACGTAGGAGTGGTTTCAAGAAAAACCAACAGGGGGCGCCACGTGCAAGTGACGGGCAACAAGGTGCGTTGCAGTTCACGGGCAGAGGGCGCTAGTAGTGTGGTGTCATAGTGAGTGCAAGTGGAACAATTGTGAGTACATCCAACCTTATTATATAATCAGGAATTCATTCCTGGACTTATAAATCGTGGTTCGGACGAGTAAACTATACTCGTTTGGCCTAGAAAAACTTATAAAAAAAAATAAAAAATTGTTTGGAAGAAGTGCTACAGAACTGTTATTTATGGACGTTAAATAATTACCATAGTGGTTACATTATATACTCTTGATTGATTGGAGTATATATTTTGTTCTATTGAGTGTATTTTGTGTTTAATTCTTTATGTGTATTATAATTTATTTTTGTGTGTTATTGTAACTTGTATGAAAAATGGATAAATATATTGACATCCAAGAAGACATTAAAATTAAACTTGAAAAATCATTGATTAATTTTAAAAAATGTCCGAAGGATCGTCTGACTATATCATACTTTGAGACTCGTCTAGATAGTTTAGAGCAACAGTGGCAACTATTCTATAATACGCACACTAAAATAGTTAGTGAATTTAAAAGGTCTTTTTTTTTTTTTTTTTTTTTTTGTGAGGGGAAAATCATCAAATGACTTCTCCCGCCCAGGGCCGGGCAGGAGGGAGTGTCAGACTCTTACTGACTAAAAACCCCCCTGTTCCTTCTCCTGCTCTGTGCCGAGGTCGCGGTACCTTATTGCGCTTACCCCGCAACCCCGGCTGAACATCAGCCCTTTAGGGCCCCGTCTGTGGTGGTCTATTGGCTCTTTGAGGCGCGCGCGGAACGCTACGCGCCGTACGCTCGGGCCTGGTTCTGGTCGGGCGGCGAGCTGCCCTTACTCGCCGACCGCAGGCCCGTACTTACGGTGGCCGGAGATCGTCCCTCGATCCCCGTCGCCCGTAGTGTCGCCAGTTGCGGCTGCTGGGGCGTGAGGAGGAGGATTGCTCCCTCACGCGGGCCGCCTCTCTCTTTGCGAGCATGACTGCTTCACAAAAGGAGGAGACGGCGTCCCAGTTCCTCTCACTCCGCACCATGGCCTCGACTAAGGCCGGGCGCGAGAGGTCGCCGCCGCCGATCACTTCCCTGAGGATACGGCGGTGCTCAGCCCAGGCAGGGTACCGCTACCGTATGCTCCACCGTATCAAGGTCTGAATTAGTTAGTTCTAAATATTATAAAGATGGGTTATATGACGAAGTTGAAGATTTGTACATTAATTTTAAAAGTAATTTAAAAGATCTTATTAGAAAAGAAAACATAGATCGACCTAGCCTAGAATCAAGTAGTACCAAGGAAAATAGTAACTTTAGATTACCAGAAGTTAAAATACCTATGTTTTCCGGTAAATATCACGAGTGGTCAACTTTTCGCGACTTGTTTATAGGGTTGATACATAAAAATAGTAGATTAGATAATGCTCAGAAGTTGTATTATCTGAAAGGATATTTAACCGGTGAAGCGGAGCTTTTGTTAAGAAATATAATTGTGACATCAGACAATTATTTAGAAGGTTGGAATAAATTAGAGTCAACATACAACAATAAAAGATTTCTAGCAAACTCGATTATTAAACGGTTATTTAATCAAAGATCTTTAACAGTTGAATCAGCTAGTGAAATAAAGAAATTAATCAGTACTACTTGTGATTGTTTAGCCTCTATAAAGAATTTAGGGATAGATGTTTCATCATGGGACATTCTTGTCATCTACATAACCAGTACCAAATTAGATAAAGAAACAAGAAAGGCCTGGGAACTAAAAATATCATCCGATTCCACAGAAGACCTTCCTTCATTTGACGAGTTTAGGGAATTTTTAATAGGACGATATAGGGGTTTAGAAAGTATCGAAAATAGACCTAAAGAGGTTCATAAAGGTGCGCAATCTTTCCACGTAGTAGGAAAAGAAAAGAGCGAAATGACTTGTGCATATTGTTCTGCTGCACATAAAATAACAAATTGTAAATCGTTTATAAGTCAAGGTAGTGATGTCCGTCGTAAGTTTGTACATGAAAAGCGATTGTGTTTCACTTGTTTAAGCGACAGTCATTCTGCCAGATTTTGTCGAAATACTGGAAAATGTAATGTGTGTAAAAGGCGTCACCATACCTTACTTCATTCTACCGATGGTTCAGAGTCGTCCGAGAAGGACACGCCACATACAACCGCGGATACGAGCAAAAATAGGTTGCCTGAGGGGAATAAAACGGCCACTCCACGAGCGGAGGGATCTGATAGTGCGATCGTGTCATGCCTTTCTACAGGAACATGTAGGGACACCGTTTTATTGCCTACGGCATTAGTAAACGCGGAGGCTAAGGGAGGAACGTATAGAGTAATTCGTGCATTAATAGATCAAGGATCTCAAGGGTCATTTATCACGGAGTCTATGGCTCAGTATTTAGGGTTGAAGAAATCTCCATCAAACCATTTAGTGGCAGGTGTTGGTGGTGACAAGGCGGTTAAATGTAAAGCCACCGTTCAAGTAAAAATACAGTCTCGAGTCAATCCTTCTTTCAACGTGCAAGTCAAGGCTTACGTTTTAAAATCTATAACGTCTCTTCTGCCAGTTGTTAAAGCAACCAAGATAGAATGGGTTGATTTAAAAGAGACTGACTTAGCCGACCCTGAATATGACAGACCTAACAAAATAGACATTTTGTTAGGTGCTGAAGTTTATTGTAAGATCATTCAAAATGGCCTTAAGAGCGGGGGAAGGGTGTCAATCATAGCCCAAGATACGGTTCTGGGCTGGATTTTATCAGGAGTTGTAGGTACAGACCATTCGGTAAATGTAAATTCTTATCCTTGCATTACTGTACTTCACTCAAATATTCAAGCAGACGAGTTCTTAAAGAAATTCTGGGAGATCGAAGCTGAACCCTCTGAAACAAAAAAGATTCTCACAGAAGACGAGACTAAATGCGAAACTTTGTTTGCAACTTCTACTACACGAAACGAAGAAGGTAGATATATCGTAAGGCTCCCTGTCCGGGAAGCTGACTTTGTTAATAAGATAGGTGACTCCAAAAATATAGCGGAAAAAAGACTTAGAGGTTTAGAATCTAGGTTAGAAAAGAATACTACACTAAAAGACAGTTACACTCAAGTCATGCAAGAATATCTAGATTTGAATCACATGAAAAGGGTAGTAGAAAGTAAATCAATGAGTAATAAAGCCGTATACTTACCCCATCACGCTGTCGTTCGCGAGGATAAAGACACTACCAAAGTGCGAGTTGTGTTCGACGCCTCCTGTAAGGGTTCTAAAGGATTGTCACTAAACGATAACTTATTAGTAGGGCCTACGCTGCAGGCAGACCTTCGCCACATTGTTATGCGATGGCGAACACATAGAATTTGTTTAGTCGGGGATATCATAAAAATGTACCGCCAAGTTCTAGTTAATGAAAAGGATACAATATATCAACGTATTCTTTGGCGAGATAGCTCTACACGGGAAATAGAGCAATTCGAATTAATCACGGTTACTTTCGGTACGGCATCAGCACCCTACTTAGCAGTGAGGGCTTTACATCAAACAGCTTATGACGAGTGTCATGATAGTCCAAAAATAAGGGATATAATTCTACGGGATTTTTATATGGATGATCTAATGACGGGATCTGATAATGTAGATGAGGTTTACGACATATACACTAAAATTAATGAGACGTTAAAAAAGGGGGGTTTCATATTACAAAAATGGAAAACGAACAGTAGGGAATTATTAACTAAAATAAAGATCGATCACAGCACTACAGAGAAAGAAATAAAAGTAGATGAATTAACTAAAATACTAGGACTTACCTGGAACTCCAGTGAAGATGTCTTTCAATACTCCATTAATATTCCGCTCACCGCTACACCTGCAACTAAAAGAAAAATTATTTCGGAGATTTCGCGTTTATACGATCCGCTAGGATGGTTAGCTCCCAGTATCGTTAAGGCGAAGATATTAATTCAAAATTGTGGTTAGCTGGCATAGCTTGGGATCAAGAAGTACCAGACCACTTATTAAAGGAATGGTTAACTTACCGCGAAAAGATGTCTCAGCTGGCAACCATCAGAATCCCACGGTGGTTACACGTCACTTATACAAATGTAATTACAGAGTTGCATGGTTTCGCCGATGCTTCGAAATTCGCATATGGCGCAGTTATATATTTAAGAGTAGTGGATATGACAGGAAGTGTATTTGTGTCATTGATTGCCTCTAAAACAAGAGTTGCGCCGGTGAAACAGGTGTCTATTCCCAGACTAGAGCTCTGTGGAGCTGTTCTCGTGACTAAATTGCTTCGAGAAGTAGGTGAAGTGATGGCCATTCCAAAATCAGATTGGCACGCTTGGACAGACAGTGAGGTCGTACTAGCATGATTAAACAGTCATCCCAGCCGTTGGAAGACGTTTGTGGGCAATCGAGTGTCGGAGATACTAACAGCTTTAGATAGCCATCACTGGGCTCACGTATCTACAAAACAGAATCCAGCAGACTGTGCTTCGCGTGGAATTTGTCCTTCCGAGCTTAAGAATACTTCTCTTTGGTGTGATGGTCCGTCATTTTTAAGGGATCAAGTGGTTGTATATCGAAAGCCAAAGCATTTAGTGACTCAGTTAGAAGAGGTAAAGATTCATACAGCCACGGTAAACTGTTCATTTTGGGGTCGATTTTCAACATTATTGGAGTTAGTTAGAACTATTGCTTATGCTCGACGCTTTATATTTGGTATAAAAAGGGAAAGTCAGAAGTCAGAGGAGCAAGCAGTTCCGCAACCTCTTTCTAGAAAAGAACGAGAAATGGCTTTAGTTATATGCGTAAGAAAATGCCAGGAGGAAGTTTACGCTGAAGAACTAGACCTATTGAAAACCAATAAATCTCAAAAAATAGGCGCTACGTTAAGATCGCTTAATATATTTATAGATTCGGAGAAAATTATTAGAATAGGGGGTAGACTTGAGAATTCGCAGTTAGGCTACGATAGAACACATCCTATTTTAATACCTAAGAACTTTTTCTTAACGGAACTTCTCATAGCTGATGCGCACAAAAATACCTTACATGGTGGTCCACAGCTTATGATCACTTATTTGCGGTCTAAATATTGGATTGTAGGATTAAAACTTTTGGTTAAGAAGTATGTTAGAGGTTGTGTAAAATGCATTCGTTACGCGGCAACGATCAAACCCCAATTAATGGGGCAATTACCCCACTCTCGGGTAACTCCTTCAAAGCCATTTTTATGTAGCGGAGTAGATTATGCAGGACCTATCAATATTACTCGTAGAGTCTCAAAGGGACGCGGTTATACCTCCTACAAGGGTTATATATGTCTGTTTGTATGCTTGGCGACAAGAGCTGTTCACTTGGAGGCAGTAAGTGAATTAAGCTCTAAAGGATTTTTAGCCGCCTTTAAAAGATTTGTTGCTCGTCGTGGTCGGTGCTCAGAGTTGCACAGCGACAACGGCACGAATTTTGTGGGAGCTGCGCGTGAGTTGCTTTACTTATTTAATAAGGAGAAGTCTTACTGCAATCCCGAAATAGCAGAGGTTTTAGCGGATAATGGCACGGAGTGGCATTTTATTCCTCCTCACGCACCTAACTTTGGGGGTCTTTGGGAGGCTGGGATTAAATCCACCAAATTTCACCTCAAACGGGTCATAGGTAATTCCACGCTAACTTTTGAAGAGATGGCGACCGTGTTAGCTCAAATTGAGGCGTGTCTCAATTCGAGACCGTTATCTTACAACGAGGATCAGGATAAGTTAACGATTATGACTCCTGGTCACTTTCTGGTGGGTGAAGCCCTAGTTTTGCCTCCTGATTACAACTATGAATCATGCAAAATTAATACCTTGCAAAGATGGCAGCTACACCAGAGAATGGTTCAGGACTTTTGGCGTCGGTGGTCACAGGACTACCTTCACCAATTTTTACAACGTCGTAAATGGCAACACGTGAACCCTGAACCGTCGGTAGGAGACGTAGTTTTGGTAAAGGAGGACGATTTACCGCCAGGCAAGTGGTTACTCGGTCGAATAGAACAGAAACATCCTGGTGCAGATGGAATTACGCGAGTTGTAACCTTGCGCGTTAAATCGTCGTCCATAAAAAGACCTATATCTAAATTGTGTGTTTTACCCATAACTTAATTTTAATATTGTTTTTTTTTTATTGTGAATTATCTATCCAGTGTTACTTTTATTGTGTATTCTCTACCCGGGGGCATACGCTTCAGTACTGTGTCCTCATGGTGGGCGGTACTGAAGGACATTCAGAAATATGTCCTTGGTGGGCGGTATGTTTACGGTGTTAAGCGGAACCGTAGCGCGATCCGAAAAGGCAGTTAATTAAAAGTTTGAGTTTTGCTTCCCTAGATGGCGTTGGGATCGAAATAGATCGCGCTATGGTTTCGTTACATCGGAAAGTATAGGTGTTTTTTGATTTTAATAATTTGTGAGATTTAGTTAGAAATTGTTAGCACGATAACTTGTAAATTTGAAATAAATACAGTTATTCGGGAGCGCGAGACATTCTTTCATTTCTCCAAGACCAAAACCACCGTCGTATGGTTTTGTACAGGGTTAGACGGCCAAACTTTGTTTTTGCGTTTGGAGAGGTAAAAATTCTTGTAGGAACTTGGTTTTTTATGTAATAGCTTGATAAACGAGCAGACGGATTACCTGATGGTAAGCAATCAGCGCCGCCCATGGACACCTGCAACGGAAAAGTTACGTTTGCGTTGCCGACCTTTTAGGGATTAGGGATTTGGAGATTTAGGGACTGGGGAGGGATTAGGGAAGGGGCAGTATTGGGCCTCCGGTAACCTCACTCACACGGCGAAACACAACAATGAGATAAAACGTATATCTAAAGTATAAATATTTTTATTGTTTGTAGGTAATGTAATCTGTAATTGGCGACTAAATAAGCCCAAACATGTTAAAAAAGGGGTTCAATTCAATATCAACCTGTATACAAACGCTGTTGGTATCACTTATATATAATTATAGTATTGCCACATCAGAAAATGATTCTGTTAAAACTATATAAATATATATTTATACCAATTATTATCGATAGGTACTTCTCTTTGGTAACTTCTGCTCCTAAAAGGCAAATTTGGGTCAAGAAAGACTTCCCTCCGCTTTGCAGCAAAGCAGTATATTCGATATAATTCAAGCCTGATTCGGTCGGTGACGATATCATTTTAATTGGATTTAAACTATTTCTAATATACAAAATTGCTTCCAATTATTTTTATCTTTTCTCAACAGAATTGTTAACACTAAACAAAACAAGGCGCTTGCTTTCCCAGGGCCTATGTTTAGCTGTGAGAGTATTTTTGCTGGAATTATAGTGATGGCAATGATGACGAGGAATACATGGTCATGTTATGGTTTCCAGGAGTATGTCCATCAGAACTATCGGGCAAGCGCATTGGTGTCTTCTTTGGAATGGATTTGACGAGTCTTTTAAATTACTTTATAGTTTTCATGGAAAGGGATATTCTACTTTGCTAGGGTAAGACATTAAAATAACCATTCTTAATTTATTGGTACAGAAATTGAGTGCCACGATAAACAGGTTTTAATTGTTTTCAGATCTAGCAAGACAATGATAGCGAACCGCATATCGTACTGGCTAAATCTAAGAGGACCTTCGCACACGGTAGAAGCTTCCTGTTGTAGTTCACTGGTGGCGCTGCAGTTGGGCCGTGATGCCATCGCTCGCGGCTATTGCGATGCCGCCATTATTGGAGGCTCTCGGATAATGCTGCAACCACAGCATTATATTAATTATAATAGGTATAGTATTTTTTCCTTAACAGTTTTGTATAAACCATACTTGGACACTGCCATCGTCGTGGTGGCCAGAGATTAAGGCGCCCGCTTTTCTCTTAACTGGTATGAGGGTGTCAGTGCAAAACCTGGCAAATACAAATGTGACTTTTTTGAAATTATAGGTGCCTTCTTTGAAGTTTGTTTAGACATCACTGTCAAATGGTGAAGGTGGTGTTCTTAACTTAACCATTTGTGTGTAGTCAAGAAACCTTTTCAAACGTCTTCTGTTAGCTCAGTAGAGGGCACATATAGCCTGATGATCTATCTGTGTGCGAAGATCATCTCAGCCATTATCACGCTATGCTTCTCATAAAGACGCACTGCACTGTAATTCAACAATCAAATTTAAGTTCTTATGGTGACCAAGTGATCCGTTAGTACTTTATTAGAACGTATGTTTTGTTCCAGGATGGTCCCTATAAGCTTCGATGGTAAGACTAAGTGCTACGATATGGATGCTGACGGTCACATTTTGGCTGAAGCTATCACCGTACTGTTCTTGCAGAAGTATGAAGATGCAAAGAGGTAAACGCGAATCATTGCTGATTACGATTCTGACATGATGTATATATCAAGGAGACATTTTTTTTATCTTACTGATATAGCATGAAATTTTGTAAGTTTATAAGTATGGTTTTAAAGACGATTATGCTCTTCCATGTTCAAAGTATTGAATGATAATATATTATAGTTTATTTCCTTATTTTATATATACATGAGGTTCCTTTTTACCAGTAACGCGTGTGAAGCCGCTGAAAGTTACGCAATATAATAAGAAAAAGACTATAGCATATATTTACTTTCAGAATCTACGCAGAGATTTACCACATGAAATCAAACTTTTCTTACGATAACTTCGGAAAATACAGGGACCATGCGAAATGGTCTAAACATTTGGAAAAGTTTTACGAAGAAGCTGGAGTATCACCATCGTCAGTGGAGTACGTCGAGGGGTGCGGAGCAGGTATAAACGCATCAATAATTTATGATACACACATGGAGTAAATGGAGTAACCAAAACAACAATACCCATTTACACCGTGATGAAACCTGGACTTATAATTCTAATAATAACTAATAAGTTTGAAATCGCCAACCCGCATTGAGCAAGCGTGGTGATTAATGCTCTAACCTTCTCCGTTTGAGAAGAGGCCTTTGCTCAGCAGTGAGCACTTATAGGCTGATGACGATGAAAAAATATAATGAACATTTTCCAAAAAATCTTTATTTGAGTAGTTTTAAGTACTTATAATTGCTTAAAATTTACGTTAAGTGCGAAGTATTTTCCACAAGTGTACAAGTGTACCTACGGAACTTTTTTATGCGAAAGATGACAATGCATTAGAAAAACTTCTCCATGTCCCAGGAGGTAGTGGAGTCTCATTGGAAGTCCACAGGATATATCCTCAAGAGTCTGAAGGCAAAGAAATGACCCAACAATAAGATATTGCTATAGGATACCGATGGGCCTTATTTTATCATTTCTTAATTGTAGTCTGAGTTTAGTGCGTCAGTAGGCTACAGTCCATATAAGCTGAAATTGAAAGTCACTTGGGAGTACTTATTTGAAGATTTCTGATCCACAGCTGACCCTAAGGCGGACAGAGCGGAATTGCAAGCTTTGGAAGAAGTGCTCTGCAAGGACCGCAAGAAGCCACTTCTCGTTGGTAGTGTTACATCCAACATAGGCTCTACTGGTGAAACATCGGGATTGTGCGGGCTCATCAAAGTAAGTAATTGTATATAGAAACTATACATACTTATACAATATAAAAATTTACAAAATGTTGATAAATTTGTGGTAAAAACAGTTTTTATGTTTAAATATGAAGTTAAGTAAAATATGTAATTATCGATGTAAACAGTGTAAACCTAACAATACGACGCCTCTTTAATTATACTAAAGTTTCTTCCGATTACAAATTAGGAATGATAACTCATTCGAGCAGTCGTTATGGGTACTTACGTGATAGCAGTTATAGATTCACGACATGTGCTTACTGGCTGTTAGTACCTCCAATTAGTAAAATAAATTAGTTCTCACACTGCTTTGGAATTTTTAATTGCCTGTGCAGATACCTCCTCCATAAGATTTTATGTTGGATTTACGAATTATGCTATTGATTGAATGTTGTCGTGTCACAGAATTGCAAAATAAAGCGCGAGTTTCATTTCACAGTCTTTCGGACAGCCTTTTACTTCGCTAGCCATGACGTGGAAAAGTATTTTTTGGTGTTTATAATATTTAATTTTCGACAGCTGCTACTGGCTTACCACAGAGGAGAGCTAGCAGCGAACCTGCACTGCGACAATCCACGCAAGGACGTGCCAGCTCTGCAAGATGGCCGCATGCAGATTGTGACAGAACACGCCCCATTCGCTCGGACATACACTGCTCTCAATAACTTCGCCATCACCGGCATGAATTCACACTTGTTACTCAAAGGACATTACAAGGAGAAGGTTTGATACTTTTATTTTTATACTAGCAACCTGCCCCGGCTTCGCACCGGTGCAATAGTGACACTAAATTTCTCCACTATTTTAAGGATGTTATTATACGTTTACGTACATTCGTGGATGTAGTGTGAGCCACCTGTAAAAGGAGAGGTTAGAATTATAACGAAACGGCGCATACTCACAATATTAATCTTGCTGCATGGCGTCGCAAAGTTGCACGCATATATATGTATATTTATACTTGTTTCTATCATTCTTTTTCTATTGATTAGGAAACAATGGAAACTTTTTTTTAATAGGGGATTAAGGAGAGTATTTTAAACGTAATACAATATGACTCTAATATATGTCGTTTTTTAATTTTATTTGGATATATACGAACATTTGAAAGTATGTGGGGCCCAATCCTTCCCCTCCCCCAATCCCTCCTCAATCTCTATATCTCCAAATCCCTAATCCCTAAAAGGTCGGCAACGCACTCGTAACTCCTCCGTTGCGGGTGTCCATGGGCGGCACTGATTGCTTACCATCAGGTAATCCGTCTGCTCGTTTGCCGACCTATCACATAAAAAAAAGGTATTAGATGTCTTAATTGTTTCTTTTTTTAATTTATTGAAGGATGTGACTCGTTACCAAAGTCAAATTCCACTCATGGTATTAGCCTAGGGAAGACAAGAGTCAGGAGTACAGAAAATACTTGATCATATAAAGTCGAAGGAACTGGATCCCGAGGAAATAGCTCTGCACCATGGAATGTATAAAACAAAAATATTGAATCATATGGCTCGAGGGTTCGGGATATATGGTATGTACATTTTTGTACACACATACATTTGCATTAAATTTGGTTTATTACTAATTTCCGCTAGGCATATATTTTTAAAACTTAAAAACTGCCAATATACTTTACAACAAAAAAAAATATTATGATGTGCATTTTTATAATGCAGTCTGAAATGGTGTTAATTTTCAGAAACTGTAAACAATAAAACCGTGACACGTAGTGAGAAGAAACGATACTATGACTCCGCAGCCCGACCGTTGTGGTTCGTGTACAGCGGTATGGGCTCCCAGTGGGCCGGTATGGGTGAACAACTCATGCGCATACCGATATTCGCAGCCGCTATCGAGAGGTAACGAATTTGTATGACCTTGGAATTTAGTGCCAACTGCAGTAGAAAATATTAAATATAATATTGTACGCTCCTTATTCCAGATGCGACAGAGTACTGAAGCCGAAAGGCTTGGACATCGTGGACATTATCAGCAACCCGGACAAGTCCATGTTCGACAATATACTGAACAGCTTCGTCGGTATCGCGGCCATACAGATCGGGCTCACCGACGTCTTGCGGGCTGTTGGCCTGGTACCCGACAATGTCATCGGTAATTATGTTCTATTTTAAAGTTAGTTTTACTATTGATAATACATTTGTATTATGTAAGTACTTATATCAAATTATACTATATTGGGAAACTTGGCACTATTTCATAGGGCACAGTGTTGGAGAATTAGGCTGTGCCTATGCAGACGATTGTCTTACCGATGAAGAGATGATTTCACTGTCCTACAGTAGAGGAATAGTTTCCACGACAATGGAATTTGTCAGAGGTTCTATGGCCGCTGTAGGGATTGGATTCAAACAGGTATGATTAGAAGTTACATACTCAAGTAAACCAATTTAACGTTTAATAAGTATTTAATCAACTATACATAATTTTCTAGATGTCAAAAATATGTCCTCCCGATATCGATGTAGCTTGTCATAACGGCCCAGGATCCTGTACTATCTCCGGACCAGAGGAGATCGTGTGCAAATTTGTTAACGAGCTTACTGGGCAAGGTATATTTGCGAAAGAAGTGCAGTGTTCAAATATCGCCTATCATTCTCGCTACGTGGCAAAAGCAGGTTAGAATAAAACTACCAACACTTTTTATTTTACTAGTGAGACGCGTCTTCAGATCTTGATCAAAATAAAGGAGTCCTTCATGACGGGAGGATTGAGCGCTTTGGCGAGTATACCATGGATTGGTATACTCGCCAAAGCGCGTGTGTTTTCGGATTTTCTGTCGAGAATCGAGGTTGATTAGGAGATTTTTTGTTTGGTAATTATTTTCAGCGGTATGTCTAAAATTGCAAATAATTCATTATTGTAGAGAAAAGAGACATTTGCTCAAAATGTGACAACGTATTGGTATAAAGAGATATATTAATTATAATTTTTTATACATAACCAGTTATAGTATGGCGAACATAAAGTAATCACAAAAATCAATTGCCCTTTTTTAGGACCCGAACTACTAAAAATGTGTAAAGAATTGATTAAAGAACCCAAGCTCCGGAGTAAGCGCTGGATATCAACATCTGTAGAGCAAAGTCGTTGGGATGAATACGAAGCTCAGTATTCGACAGCAGCGTATCACGTTAATAATATGATGGTAAGATATTACTAAGTAAATAGATGAGTACGGACTTGGTATTTTTAAACAATCAAATAGCCAAGAACTGTTCAGTCATTCTTCTGTCAAGTCATTTCAAGTTACTGCGCCAATCGTACCATCTTATGTTTCTCAGAGGTCAGGCGGGAGAAAGTGTCAGACTCTTACTGACTAAAAACCCCCACGTTCCTTCTCCGAGGCCGCGGTGCCTCATTGCGCTTGTCCCGCAACCCCGGCTGACAATCTCTGTATCGTAGTTCCACAATTTGCATTACTTTATTATTAATTAAACACACAATAGTGTTGCCAGTAATCTAAGTTCTATTGCCATTCCTGAGACTGTTTGCATTATTGTATAATATTGTGATATTATTGTCTAGAGTCCGGTTCTATTCGAGGAGGGATTGAGACATGTCCCGAATGACGCAGTGCTGATAGAGATAGCACCACATGGTCTGATGCAGGCTATTCTGAAACGATCTTTGGCTTCGACTTGCACTAACGTGGCTCTCACTAGTCGTGATCATCCAGATAATGTGTTGTTTCTTCTTGAAGCTTTAGGGGAGTGAGTATTAATTAGCTTTTTAGTAAAATATTTAAACAAAATTCTGTAATTAATATTCGGTATTTTTTTGGAGTTAGTACATCTTCTTTTTAATGTTTCTTTTCTTTATTTATGTAGCTATTATAACCTGTTGGTGCTAAACCAGTCTCTAATATTACCTTGACAGGCTCTACATGGACGGTTTCGATATAGACATCAGCGTCTTATATCCAAAAATAGAATTCCCGGTGTCCACAAAAACGAACATGTTGTCTCATTTAGTGGAATGGGTACATACAGAACAATGGTGAGTTCTTTAAAATATAGAGGCTAATAAGTCTTCTAGTTAGTGCTTAGATTGAGCATAGGTATCTCTACATTTAACTTAATACTTGGCATCATAATGCATACTTTCTTGCAAGAATTATTTTTTGTATGTGTGTGTTACGCAAACGATTACCGTCAGGTAATCCGTATACTATCACAATGAATGTATTACTTCTCTAAGGCCGTAGTATTATTACGACCGAGCCGACCCATTCGTGCCAAAGCATGGCTACGATTAAAGGGTTTCGCCTAAAATGCAATTTCACGAATAGTAGTTTTTAGATTAGGTGCAAACATGAGCTGGTTATTTATTTTTCTCAAAGTAAATGACAATAATTATATAAAAATATTTTTAGGTATTTAACTACTTTTGAGCACACACAAAGGCAGTATATGGCGGTTTACGAGCCGTTGGTTACAAAGTATGAGGAAGAGTACACATTCTTAGAAGGAGCCGTAATTGAAGGTAATGTATTAATTGCTCTTTTAAACACTTTGTAACACAGGCCAGTTCAGTCGCCGAAATTTAGTTTCTTTTTTACAAGCATATAGTTGAAACTACGGTTCTCATTGATATCTGCGTGGTTTGTAGCGACTGCCGAACCATGCCGGGTCACTCTATGTTCTAATGCCTGTAAATATATAATCCAAATATATAAACAATTAACTTCATGGTTTTAGGTACCAAGGTGTTCCCGCTAGCTCAGGCACTAATATTTGTATGGGACACGCTCTCCATGATCACAGAGAAGCCTGTGCGAGAAACGTCGGTAAACTTCCATAAAATAGTGTACCACAAACAACCAGTGTGGCGCGACAGCCAAGTGTTCAAACTTGTGGTCATGCTGCACAGGGGCAGCGGACTATTTGAGGTGAGATCCATAATAATATACTATTTGAGATAAGTATTTTATTGATGAATATTTCAATCGGAATCCACATACTGTCAATCTGTAGTAACAATGGCAAGCGCTTGTGACTTATTTCGTTTGCCCCGCATCCACGGCTAAACATCATCACTATAGGGCCCCGTCTATGGAAGTGTCGGAACGGTGAAGGAACGTTTAGGTCGTGCTTTTACTTTTAAAAAATTACAAGAGTGCAATGAAAAGTATCTTTACCAAGATTTAAAGGATAAAATTATATGTTATAGGTTACTCTTAACGATATACTAATTGTGGAAGGAGTAATACAAGCGTTCAAATTCGGCAATGAGTTACCCATAGTCGATAAAAACGTTGAGACAAGGCTGGACAGCAATGATGTGTACAAACTACTATTTGAAAAAGGATATGAATACAGGTAACTTATAGAATGTAATGTTTTACTTTTTGATAGCTATGTAAGTCTAGAAGTTCATATAAGAGGGCACGAAGCTAGGTAAAATGAACAGAGAATTTAGAATTAAAATACTGCCAAAAAGGCAGTCATTGTTTAGGGATTTATGACAAGATATTTAAATTATGGTCAACAAATAAGTGTAACTACAGTTTAAAATTCAGTTGGGCTGGTCCCATATCGATAGTTGATAATCATATCTTTTTATGTAATTGGTCGGCAAACGAGCAGACGTATTACCTGCAAGCTGTAAGCAATCAGCGCCGCCCATCGACACCCGCAACGGAGGAGTTACGAGTGCGTTGCCGACCTTTTAGGGATTAGGGATTTGGAGATTTAGGGATTGAGGAGGGATTGGGGGCGGGGAAGGATTAGGCCTCCGGTAACCTCACTCACACGGTGAAACACAACGCTGTGGTTGTTTCACGCCGGTCTTCTGTGAGACCGTGGTATCACTCCGGTCGAGCCGACCCATTCGTGCCGAAGCATGGGTCACACTTAAATCTTATCTTTTTCCTTTTAATTAATTGTTTTGAATTAATATTATTCGAATTTCGACATTAATTTCTTAATACAAACCAATAGTCAGATAAATGTTATCTGAGGAATAAATTGTTGCTGTCACTGTCTTTTACAAACATTCTGACGCGACAACATCAAAATTATTTCCCGGGTAACTATTATCTAACCATTAAAAAATTAGCCCTAAGTCATAATGTATAAAAACTATTTCCTTTGAATATTATTTTTTCCAGAAATGACTTCCGAACCATTTATAATTCAAATCATACGTTTACGAGAGCCCAATTAGTTTGGCGAAACAATTGGGTGACATTCATTGATGGAGCCGTTCAATTATACACCTTAAAACATGGCCATGAGGGTGTTTCTCAACCACATTACATCAATAGCATCTGCATTGATTTACGTTCTCATGAATTTGCTTTAACAAACGCTGAAAACTACGAGAGTGACAAACTGCTTGATGCTATTGTTAATAAAGATAGATATGACGTAAGGTAAGATGGTTCTAATTATTGGTTTTCATTATCTCTAGCTACTCTACACATTTACACAATAAACCTAAACGAGAAAAAATATTTATAACTAGCTACTCTCGTGCGGTTTCACCCGCTGCTCGGCTCCATTTAATCGTAGCGTGATGTTTTATAGCCTATAGCACTCAGGAACATTGTAGCTATCTATCAGTGAAAGAATTTTCCGAAGATTACTCCCCTCCCCTAGATACAAACTTATTTAAATTTCGAATGAAATATTGACCAAAATGGTCTTAATCTAATTCCAAATGGTTTCGCCTGGTTTTCACTTTCAGAAAAGGCTTAAAAAGAATGATCGTCTTTGATGAAATTTTTGTGTTTCTAATTACATATTTTGGTGTTTTGATTCCATTTGATTTCACATAATAATATCTTGAGGCAATATACAGTAATTTTATTAATACCTATAAGAAGAACCTGCTTACTAGAACAATATGAAAAAAGCTCGACTGGTTTCGCCACACCGGGATACATGTTCAGAGGCATTGTTAAGCTTTTCTTCATAAGTTTGCTTTGTTATGAAGTATATTCGAATTAAATAATGTCTTACTGAATAATAATAAATAATCTCCTATTTCAGATGCGGCGGACTGTCTATCGAGAGTATTTCGTTTAAAGACAAGCCTATTCCTAAACAGCCTGCCATGATAAAAATACTGCCACAAAATACACCTTCATCCGACGATATCAATAAAGACGTTAGTATTACAAAAATATTTTACCGTTAATATCAAACGAAGTAAACAAAATATATGACGGAATTTCAGTTTTCTTTTCAACCTAAAATGGTTCAACTTTACTAAGAAATCACTAGTTGCCGATGTAGAAATATAATTTAAAAATTAAATGAAATTATAACTTAAATAAATGTATAAGAAAAGTTTAGACAGTTCAGTTTCAATTTATAACAAAAAAATAATAATTAATAACTTCATAGAACCTTTCTCTCGAACAAGCTTGTAACTTGAACGTCGTTGTATAATTTCAACAGAGTGAAGCGGACAGAGAATTGAACATTTCAGTAAATAATAATCTATATCGGAAAGATTGTGTCGCAGCACTACGATGTGGCGAACTGGGTGATCTCGATTCTTTGTACTGGCAACAAGTTCCTCGTGTCGAGAAAGATCCAGGACTTATTGATGTTAAGGTATGTTTAGAAGATATTGTACAACGACTACAATTTATTACATGGATTTTTTTAAATACGTTGCTTCAGTTTTGTATTTTCTCCTGTGTCGTGGGTGTGTTTACAAGCATACAATATCACACCCAAACACACACTATTTGTGGAACACACAAAGTGTTATTCCGTGGGGGGGAATCTAACCCGCGACACGTCGCACGGCAACCCCTTGCCCAGCCACCGCGCCAACCGTGTAGTCATTGCAAGTAACAAAACAAATATACAACTATACTCTATAGATGCACGTTTCAGACTATCGTATATTCTTTGAGCCATAGTTGCCTGAAAATAAAAATTAAAAAGTGAAAAAATCTTATTCAGATCCATTGAGTTAGGTATTGAGCTTTTAATGTCACAAATAAAAATCGAGCACAATCATACACATCGTGTATATTAGGTTTACATAACACTTGCACGTCGATTCTATAAAATTTGTTTGATTTCGAATCGTGTTCGAGTGCGAAGTGAGCGTCGAAGTGACGGGGAAATTAAATTTTAGAATGCCACTTTTAACGTCATTCACACCTGCAGTGTGATTCTGTAAGACTTCATTCTAAACTTCGAATCTGAAGCCGCCGTGACTAGTAGTACACTAGCGCTACACTTGCGAGTTGAACTAAATTGACAGCATCATTTTGAAAGATAAAGTATGAAATGACGTTAAAAGTGGCATTCAAAAATTTAATTTGCCCGTCACATCGACGCTCACTTCGCACTCGAACACGATTCAAAATCAAACAAATTTTATAGAATCGACGTGCTGTATTTTGGTTAAATTAATACATTCTTTGTTTTTGGTTTAGGTGCATTACGCTGAGCTGAACAACTTCGATGTCCAGCGAGCTTTGGCTCAGATACCAAGACTCAATACTAAAGACCAAGGGTTCGGGATAAGTTTTAGTGGAATTACTGAAAGGTATTTAAGTCACTCTCCTATATTCAATAACATAATGAGTTTTATTATATAGGTATGTGGTGCAATGGAAATACATTTCATTACCTACAAGTCTAAACTTATGAATAACTAGTTACTCTCACGCGGTTTCAACCGCTGCTACAGATCCCAACGTGATGTATAAAGCCTTCTTCGATAAATGGACTAACAAGCACAAAAAAGAGTTATTCAATTCGAATCAGTAGTTCTGGAGATTAGCGCATTCAAACAATAACAAACTCTTCAGCTTTATTAGATAAAAAAAAGTATAGATTTATACAATTATCTTCACAGTGGTCAGAAAGTGATGGGTGTATTCCCCTCCGGTGGCTCCGTAACTCAACAAATCACATCTCGGCCTGAGTTTCTATGGCCCATACCGAAGCACTGGAGCCTTGAAGACGCTACCACTGTACCTTTGGCCTACAGCATTGCTTTCCGTTGCTTGGTAATCCCCTTTTGTTACTATATCATTCTTTACTAATACTAATAACAGACTGATACGAACAGCTAAAACCAAAATTTTACACAAATAGTGATTAGGATGTATTTAAATGAAAATATTTTAGTATGGAATGATAATGGAAAAAAATTGTTTTGATTTTCAACAAAAAGAAACAATGTTTTGTGTATCATAGACCAGTAAGATTCTGTTCCAGCTAATATGTCCCAGATAGAAATAGTTTTTATAGGGTATAAAAACTCGTGTTTTAGCTGTTTGTCCATTTATTTGGTATGCAGACATGAAAAAAGATTTAGTACAGAGCCAATAACATTTGATTGGCTATTAAACTGACCAATGATATTAGGTAGTTTCGTTAATCATCATATTATTTGTACTGTACTTAGGTACATTATTTGAATGACATATTCCTTAATGAGTTGCGCTGAACCAGTTGTTGTTCGACGTGGAGGACTTAGGACATAGGACTTCATTAGAAGGCTTATGATGATTACGATAATGATGATGATGATGATAACCATTCTTTAGTTCGAATTTAGATCAATTTGGTATTACAAAATAGAGCCACGACTTTATTATAGGTAACTTTATCTTATAGTTAACGGTATTTTATTATCTGTGCAGGATTTTAAAAACAGACTAGATAATGCAGCAACAATACTGGTGCACGGTGGAGCGGGAGCTTTGGGTCAGGCCGTGATCTCCATAGCGCTGGCGACGGGGTACCAAGTCTATACCACTGTCAGTGATCAGAAAAAGAAGAAATTCTTAACTAAACTGTTCCCGAACTTACCAGGTTAGGTCTAACTTTTATTTGGTAGTGCCTTACAGAAAATAGTTGTTGCACGCCTTATGTATTATGCTAAAATTATAAGTATCTTTAAGTAAACCATGCTAAGTATGGGAGAGCCATGCTTCGGCACGAATGGGTCGGCTCTACCGGAGAGACCACGGCCTCACATAAAACCAGCGTGAAATAACCACGCCGTTGTGTTTTGCCCAATCCTTCCTCTACCCAAATTCCTAATCCCCAAAAGATCGGCAATGCACTCGCAACTCCTTTGTTAAGGATGTCCATCGTTTGCCGACCTATCACATAAAAAAGCAAGATAGTCAATTTATATTTATTTTATTCCAGCTGATCACATTGGAAACTCGCGGGATAATACTTTCAAAGACATGGTCATGTTCCACACTCGTGGAAGAGGTTGTGATCTTGTCATTTGTTGTGTGAAGGGAGCACTCAAAGACGTAAGTACACGTACTTATCTATACTTTTAGGTAAATAATGCCTACCTATTTGCAACTTTATTTACCAATATTATAATATGCGAAAATAGCTCTTTCTGTTTGCCTCGGCTTTATGTTTGAAACATAGAATTGATTGGTATGAAATATTGCAAAGATGTATTTTGCAATCCGAGAAAGAACTACTATCCAATTAACAAGTTATTAATGCGGAATTTTCACAGGAATGGGAATTGTGCAAGAAAAACCTCGTAGGTTTGTCTGTTGCTATAAGTACGGTATAACAATAAACGGCAAAATAGAAAACTCTGCTAAAAATTTTATAGTTTATCCTACTCATGCTATTAATGAGAAAGTTTATAGATATGGCCTGGATGTAGGTATGCTATGGATGGGTGTTTATTTCTATTTCACAATCTGGATTGACACATTTATTCTACCCTAGCACTAAGGCCGAAGCCGAAGCTACAGATTTAAGCTAGTGGTCCATAATTATTGTTTTCGGAACATTTCAGACCTCACTCTCCGCTTGCGCAGAATACGGCACTACATTTGATTTGGCACAAATACATTCACAAGAGAATTATGAGTTCGGCATGTACCACTTGACTCGCGCCAGGAACTATGTAGCTGTTGATATAGCTTCCATCTTCGATGCGCAGAATATTGAAGAGTTTAAAGTGAGTAATTGATTCCCAACTGTTGATTAGATATTTTTTAATAACAACTGTCGTGAGAAATACTGAATACTTATACTGAAAATAACGACTAACTCGCGTGAATAAACTGAAAAAAGTTCTATTAGTTTCAAGTCACAACGAAACTCTAACACCCGGTTTCTGAAAGGCTTGTCAACGCTAAAATTAACTATCTACTGTTAAATCTCTTGTCAAGACATCTGATTGGTTGTTGATAATTCAGTCAACCAATCAGATGACTTGACAAGAGATTAAATTGATTTTAAAATTGAACGGCCTTTCGGAAACCGGGTGTTATTCTTGGCAGCGTGCGCGTCGCGGCGACTTCGCACAGAAAGGTGGCAGTGCGTCACGTGAGTGAGTCGTTATTTTCTGTAAGTATGTTAGTTAAGTACATTAATTCATATTGAATAAGTTAATTTGTGATGGTAATGTTATTTTTTAAATAGATATATAAATTAAATTTTGTCTAAAATAAAGTTTATTTTGGTATTTTTGCAGAAAATAAGATTACTGATAGTTGATAGTATACGCAAAGGCTACGTGCGCCCGTTGACGCGCGCCACGTACGCGCCGCGTGACGTATCGCGCGCATTCCGCCTGCTAGCGACCAGCGGGCAGCGCGGCAGGGTATTGATCGAAATGCAGCACGAGGTACAAAATATTCATCCCAGGTAAACATAGATGTTGTTTCTAGTACACATATTCTAAGTATTCTTTTCTCAAATATTATATTTAGTTAGACTTAAGCTGTCATTCTCTTCTAATGATTTTCTGTAACTAAACTAACATTTAAAACATTTAAAATGTGTTTATATATATATATACCAATCTCCAGCTAGGTGGACTTACGATATCCGCAGTGTCTGGCCGCAGAGGGTATGGTTGGATGAGAAGAGCTGAACATCGAGAACAGTGGCGTCTAATTGGGGAGGCCTATGTCTAGCAGTGGACGAAACGAAAACCGTTATCGTTTATGTATCCAAACTTTTTTGCAGATTATCCTTCTCTAGTGATTCGTGCCACGTGGTTATTGGTGACCAAGATGGATTTACTTGCAATCTAGCAAACACGCTGATTGAGCGAGGAGTCAGGACGCTATGTTTGTGTCTACCGAACATTTCTGGCTACTGTTTATTTAAGAAGAAGTAAGTTAGTTATACCTCTCTGTTTAACTGTGATAAAGCGATTACGATACACCTTAGATGAACCAGTTAATTTCTTAAAGATTTTTAACTTCTCTGACGGACACTTCAATTCTGACGTCAGGACCTTTTCAATCCTCAATTCTCAAATTAAATTTTTAGGATTACAGTCTCACTTTTTTTGATTAGAGGCGATGTGATCAATAATTTATCTACTTATATATGTATATAAAAATCAATGCCACTTTTCGTTGTTTATTAAAACTCAACAATGCCTTTACCGATTTGGCTAATTTTGGTCTGGAATTATTTTTGGAAGTCCAGAAAAGGTTTCTACGCAGAGAAAATTTTAAAAATATCTTGAAAAAGTGTAAAATCGACATCCGCTCGGGCGACCGCTAGTTATATTATAAAGACAGATATTTATTGACAATATCGTGTAAAATTAATGAAAAAGAATTACAAGTATGAAAGTGCTATGCTTCGGCACGAATGGATCAGCTCGGCCGGAGTGATAGCTCAGTCTCACAGAAAATCAGCGTGAAACAACCGATAGACGAAGGCCCAATCCTCGCCTTCCCATAATCCCTCCCCAAGGTCCAAAAGGTCGGCAAAGCCCTCGTAACCCCATCGATTTAATTTGAAGTATATAGAACGCAATTCTTAATTTTTTAGACATTGGGAGAAACTTGGAGCCAAAGTAAAGATAGTTTTTGGTAATACCAATATTGAAGACATAATGAACGGAGCCAACGAAGGAATCTACGTAGTGGCCACTGATCTCGAGGCTGCTCATGCCAAGGATAATGTTAATGTAATGATACACAATCTAGACGTTACATCCAGACAACTTTGTCCAGGACTCAGGTAAAGTATTTTTTTCTAGCTTTTAATCATTGTGATAAATAATGAACTTAAAGACTATATAGATACTCTAAACGTCTTTTGATTTTAAAAATTGAGAAAATTATAAAACAGTATTAAAAGTTACTACAGAATGGCAATTACAAACACACTATCTCCTTATGTATGTAGGTATGCATGTAACTGTCAATAGTAAATGGAAGTTGATACGCAGTTTTTTTTCTACGAATAATAGTTTTAAATTATTACAATCTCAAATTTAAGAGATTAAAATATATTCGACAAAGAGGTTCAAGAAGACAACTATAAAGTTGGATGCATGGTCAAACAATTTCTTACTTTTAGGTATTTCACTCTTATAACGGAGGACGGCTTAGTCGGAAAAAGCACATGCCAAGCGAGGAAACAAAGCAATCTCAATGCTTTATCAATACAGATAAAGTTAAAAACGGTATGTATTTTAAAAGTAACTTATTAATGTCGATGCATTGAATTTAAAAGTTACATTTTCCTTTACTTAGTGCGAAGAAAAACAAAACAAAAATGGAACTATAATGTGGGGCGATGCTCTGGATGCACTCGAAATAGCTCTACTATCAAATGAGACCTTCGTAGTTGTGAATTTAATGGAGCAAACTCAAAGAGACGTGTTGCAAGAAGTTGCAAAGATAACAGGTAGGTACCACATGATAATCGTGGGAGAGCCGTACTTCGGAACGAATCGGCTCGATCAGATACCACGGCATCTCAGAAAACCGACGTGAAACAATAATAAAGTTGTGTTTTGTCATATGAGTGAGGTTGCCTTAGGCCCAATGCTTCCCTTAGCCATATCTCATCCAAATCCCTAACTCATTAAAACCCCTTAAGGACACTCAAAAAGCCGACCATACATTTTCAATTCCTCTGGTGTCGTAAGTGTGTAGTGGCCGGCGCCAGTTTCTTACCATCAGATAATCCAACCTTTATCCAAACTAATATTATAAATGCGAAAGTATCTCTGTCTGTCTGTCTGGCTTTTCTTCACGCCTAAACTACTGAACCGATTTCTGTGAAATTTGGTACAGACATAGTTTGGAATTTGAGAAACGACATAGGATAGTTTTTATACCAAAAATCTGCAGGAAGTCACTATTCCACGGGAACGAAGTCGCTGGTAAAAGCCAGTCTAGAATAAAATTTAGGTACAACAGAATAACAATAAATTCCGTTGAAGTTTGGCAGATGTTACTTTAGGTTTAAGCTACATATCGTTGAAAAAAAAAATGGTCCACCTCGACCTCGACTATACGGTTGGCAACTGGCTGCCGCGTAACGTGTCGCGGGATTCCCGTACGGAACAACTCATTGAGTGATCCACATACGGTTCTTTCGGGTCTGGTAGTGTGTGTATGTGAAATTGTATGTTTCTAATTCTACACGCACCCACGACACAGGAGGCAATCTGAGTGTGGGGCAATGTTTTAAAGAAAGAAACAAAAAATTTAATTTAATATTTCAAAACTTGATTCCAGGTGTTACTTTGACAAGTTCAACTGACGGCAAAAAGACGCTTCAAGAGATCGGTATAAACTATGACAATGAACTCGAGTTAAACGATCTTCTGGCAAACAAATTCAACTTTACCAAAGACTTCCTTCCTTATATGACTGTGGAACAGTAAGAACTATATTTAATTTCATCATAATCAGCCTATAAGTGCCCACTGCTGAGCAAAGGTCTCTTCTCACACGGAAATAGTTTGAGCATTAATTCAACACGCTTGCTCAAGGCGAATTGGCGATTTCAAACTTATTAGAAATTATTAATCTAGGCTTCTTTAGTGTCCAAGTAAGCATAGAAAGTACATAATATGAACCGTACCCTCGTGCAGAAAAAGTGGGCCCTATAACCTCAGGATCACCGGGACGTTAATCTTTTATTTGCTTACCAATTTTGCCATAATAACTAATCCAATTTAGGAGAGACAAATAGATACTTGTAGATCAAAGAAAAAAAAAATTAACATAATATTGTACTTTGGCCTCAATGCTTATAAATTACACTTACTATAACATTAAGTACACTAGTGCCCATTTTTAATGTAAATAATTTTATTACAGGTTAAAGAATCTCAATGACCAATGTACTGGTGTAGATAACAGGTCATGTTTCGCCGGATACTTCTCGACTGACAAAGGCGACGAGACCCTCATCAATGCTGACATGGTGTTCATGCCGACGCTCACACACACGCCACAAATGGTACAGTATTTTATAAAAGGGTTACAACTCTTAATAAAAAAATGCGATTATAAAACTGAATTTAAAAACTAAAAACAAACAAATACCGAATTACTTTTACTATAACCATGTAATTGGGTAGTTTCCTGGGTCAGAAATAAATTAATTCGACGCTAATCTCCGGAACTATTGGTTCAAATTGAACCATTTTTTTTTTGGTTGTTAGTCCATTTATCGAGGAAGGCTATATGCTATAAAACATTATGCTACGATCTGTAAGAGGTTACAGCGGGAGAAACCGTGCGAAACTTGCTAGTAAGAAATAAAGTTAAAAAGTAGATAAATATAAGTATGTACCTAATAATGTTTCAGTTACCGGACGAATACGAGCCGGACGAGACGTTCCTGTGCATAGTGCCGGGCATGGAGAACAACTACGAGAGGTTCCGCGCCCTGTGCGAGCTGCTGAAGCTGCCGGCGGTCGTGCTGCACTACGACATGGACCATCAACGGGAAAACATTCAACAAATAGCTCAACGACTTGTTAATGTAACGTTTTTTCCTCATATCTTAGATTTGATACAAACGAACTAGACAAGCTAAACAATCCGTACATTTAAATGGATAACATAACAAGTGCGGCCTGGTGATTGAGGAGGGTGGAAGGTGACTTTTAGTCAGTAAGAGCTTGACATTTACTCTCTCTCCACCCAAAACGGTTTTTTTTTCTGTGAGGGGAAAATCATCAAATGGCTTCTCCCGCCAAGAGCCGGGCGGGAGGGAGTGTCAGACTCTTACTGACTAAAAACCCCCCTGTTCCTTCTCCTGCTCTGGGCCGAGGTCGCGGTGCCTCATTGCACTTACCCCGCAACTCTGGCTGAACATCAGCCCTTTAGGGCCCCGTCTGTGGTGGTCTATTGGCTCTTTGAGGCGCGCGCGGAACGCTACGCGCCGTACGCTCGGGCACGGTTCTGGTCGGGCGGCAAGCTACCCTTACTCGCCGACCGCAGGCCCGTGCTTACGGTGGCCGGAGATCGTCCCTCGATCCCCGACGCCCGTAATGTCGCCTGTTGCGGCGGCTAGGGCGTGAGGAGGAAGATTGCTCCCTCACGCGGGTCGCCTCTCTCTTTGCGAGCACGACTGCTTCACAAAATGAGGAGACGGCGTCCCAGTTCCTCTCACTCACACCATGGCCTCGACTAAGGCCGGGCGCGAGAGTTCGCCGCCGCCGATCACTTCCCTGAGGATATGGCGGTGCTCAGCCCAGGCAGGGCGTACCGCTACAGTATGCTCCACCGTATCCTCTAGGTGGTCCTCGCAATGACGACACTCGGGCGTTTTCTCCCGTTGGATCCGAAACAGGAACCTACCGAAGCTGCCGTACCCGGTAAGCACCTGCGTCAGACGGAAGGTGAGGATGCCGTGGCGTCTCTCAAGCCACTCCTCAAAGAGGGGTCTTACCGCTGCTATGAAGATAAAGATAAATTTATTTGTATAAACATGTGTGGGTAACATTATACATATAGATGCAAATGCAGATGGTAAGGTGAAAGCTCTAATGTTTCAACATGTTTTGCCACAGTTGGCGTACAAAATAATAATAGAATTAGGTAATAAAAACTATTAAAGAGACAACTAGAGTTAAAAATATGAAACAATCAACTATAATAAGTTATCATTTAAAAAATCCTTGATACGATAATAACAATGTTTAATAAGGAAATTTTTCAGTTCTCTTTTGAATAAATTATTTTTATTAATATTTTTTAAATTATGTGGAATTTTATTGTATATTATAGGTGCCATACAAAACACACTTTTATGGACAAGTGCTGTTTTCGCGGAGTGAGGCTGTAAATAATGCTTATATGTATTTCTTGCGTCTATTTCTTACAAAATTATCTTCCAAAAGAGGATACCAGTGAGGGTTATTTCTTACAAATAAAGCTATTTCTAAGATGTATAGTGACGGAAGTGTCAGTTTAAGGTACTCCTTAAACAGTGGTTGACAGCTGTCAGTAGTTTTAATCCTGAACATGGCCCGGATACAGCGCTTTTGCATTTTAAATACCATATCAGTGTTTGTCGAGTTTCCCCAGAATATTAGACCGTATCTAAGCACCGATTCTATCAGCCCATAATATGTCAACAACGCATCTCTTTTTACTATTGATGATAGTTTATACATCAGATAAGATAAGTTACTTATTTTTGTACAAAGGTCTTCAGTGTGACATTTCCAATTGATTTTATTGTCGATTTTTAAACCAAGAAATTTTGCTGTTTCTACTTCTTTTATTACATTATTTTTATATATTACTTTAAATTGAATTGAATTGCCCCTGAGGAAGGCAGATAATTGCTGGGCACGTAGCGACCAAGAGAAAGCCTATGTTTTTGCCAAGCATTTATCAAATGTCTTCCAACCTCATCCCTACGAAGGCCCAGTAGAACACGAGAAGACAGTAACAGAATACCTGAAAGCCTCGGAAACAGATGAAATTACGCCGATAAGATTTACAAAGAAAGAAGTCAGAAAAGTAATACAAAAAGCCAAGTCAAAGAAATCTCCAGGATATGACCTCATTACCAATAAAATCCTGCAAGAATTACCTGACTCTGGGATAACAATGATTACAGAAATTTACAACGCCATAGTTAGACTTCAGTTCATTCCACCGCAGTGGAAAACTGCACAAATAATCATGTTATTAAAACCAGATAAAAAATCTGAGGATCCTAAGTCATATCGGCCAATAAGTCTGCTTCCCATACCGTCGAAGATACTCGAAACGCTGATACTACAACGAAGTATGCCAATAGTAGACCAGCATGGGCTGATACCCGATCATCAGTTTGGTTTTCGTCAAAGGCACGCCACCATAGACCAAGTACATAGGTTAATAAATGAAATAGACAAGTCGTTTGAAGCCAAAAGGTACTGCGCGAGTGTCTTTCTTGATATATTCCAAGCCTTCGACAGGGTATGGAATGAAGGATTATTATTTAAAATAAAAACGTTGTTCCCCATCTACGTCTATAACATTCTCAAATCTTTCTTAGAGAATAGATATTTCCTGGTTAACCACGGTGAGGCATTTTCAGGCCTTTGTAATATCAAAGCGGGAGTCCCTCAAGGTAGCGTCCTAGGACCGCTACTCTACCTGATCTACACCTCAGACCTACCAACTTCAGACTGCATAACAACTGGAACCTTTGCCGATGACACAGCAATTTTGGCTTCTCATGAAGATCCAACAGAGGCGTCAAAAATTTTACAAAATGGAATAAACAATATTTCAAATTGGCTTAAGAAGTGGCGAATCAAGGCAAATGAAACTAAGTCAGTTAATGTTACTTTCACCCTGAAAAAAGGAACATGTCCACCAGTAAAGCTCAACAACCTTGAAATTCCCCAAGCAGACCATGTGAGATACTTAGGCTTACACCTGGACAAACGACTCACATGGCAAAAGCATATCTTTACCAAACGCAAACAACTGGGATTGCAAGTACGGAAATACTATTGGTTAATAGGTCGCCGATCACAATTACCAATGAGCAACAAACTTCTTTTGTACAAGGCTATACTAAAACCAATCTGGACCTATGGTATTCAATTATGGGGGACAGCCTCTCACTCTAACATAGAAATAGTGCAGAGATTCCAGAACAAAATGCTGCGAATGGTAACCGACGCTCCCTGGTACGTGACAAACGAACAGTTGCATCACGACCTCCAAGTACATACTGTCAAACAAGAAATTCTACGACATCTAAAAACCTATAAAGAAAGGATCACAAACCACCCAAATAGATTAGCGAAAGTCTTGATGGAGGAAACTCAAGCAACTCGTCGACTAAAACGAAAAATGCCCCAGGACATACTTAAAGCACAATAAAGTAAAGTAGGAAGTGACTCAGGTCACATTCCGAGCATGTCATGACAGACCCCGACCAGCCAACTACTTAATGTCCCCAGTATGTGACAGATCGTAGTGAATAAATGGGAAAAAAAAAATTAATTGAATTTTGAGGTCTTTGGCTGTAATTCATTACATTTGTTTTATTCATATTTATTTTTAAATTATTATTGTCTAACCATGTTATTACTGAATTTAAGGACTCATTAATTTCGGATTCAAATAGCTTTTTATCTTTACATGTAATATTGATTGTGCTGTCGTCTGCAAATAATATTAAAGGTTGCACAGTTGCACGAGGGAGATCATTGATGTAAGTAATAAATAGCGTGGGCCCCAGTATGCTACCTTGAGGAACACCGTACCTAACATGTCTTACTTGTGATTGATATTGTTCTTCTTTTTTGGTTTTTGAGTTAAATTTTGTTATTAGTGTTATTTGTTTCCGATCAGATAGATAAGATTTAAATAACTCTAAGACATTTCCTCTTATGCCATATGCCTCCAGTTTACTAGCTAATATTGTATGATCAACATAATCGAAGGCTTGTGTCATGTCGCAAAAGATTGAACATACAGGGGTGGTTTTATCAATCGCGGACATTATATTTTTCAAAACTCGAAAACAGCCATATTTATATTTTTATGTTTTCGAAATCCCTTTTGTTCGTTGCATAAGATATCGTTATTTTCTAAATAATTATTTAGTTGTATATTGTAATAAGTCTCCAGGATTTTTGAAAAGACAGAAAGAAATGCAATTGGTCTGTAGTTTTCGACTAATTCTTTGTTATCCTTTTTCAATAATGGATTAATAATTGCTATTTTAAGATCTTTTGAAAATATGCCTTTTGTAATAGTTAAATTAATTATATAGCATAAATGATGACATATATAACCATTTACATCCTTAACTATTTTCGTTGAGATCCCGTCATAACCAACACTTTTTGTGTTTTTTAGGCCATTTATTATTTTAAATACGTCAATCGGTGTACAGGGAGCTAAATACATTGAATTTAGTCTAGAATTAATAAGGGATGTTACTTTTTTACCGGCACCTGGGATAGGTTTAACTTTGTCAACAAAATAATCGTTAAATGTGCTAGCTATTTCGGTAGGATTTGTAATACTTTTATTTTGCATTTTAATTTTTTCTATTGGTTCTCTTGGTAAATTTGACAGTGTTTTATTAATACTTTGCCATGTTGTTTTTGATTTGTTATCCGATGTTTTAATTTTGTAATTATTTTGAACACACTTTGTTAGAGTAATATTTTTTTTCAGTAATTTGGAATATCTGATATAATTGTTCTTATTCGTTTTAGTTGATTTTTGTCTAAATTTCCATAACAATAATCTTTTTTTCCTGCTACAAATTTTGATTCCGCGCGATATCCATTTACATTTATAGTTAACTTGTACCTTGGTTATTTTTTGTGGAAAGCACAAATCGTAGAATAATTTAAAATTATCTATAAAATATGAATATGCACTATCAGTGTCGCTCATGGTATACAATTCCGAGAAAGAAAAATTTTTTACGCACATTTTAAATTTATCAACGTTATCTTTACAATAGTCTCGTTCCGTTTTATACCAGTATTTAAATTTTAAAACCTTTTTTATCGGGAGTTTTATTAATTGGGCTGTATGATCTGATAAACCAAATTACAATACTTCAGTCTTACATTGTTTTTTAAAATCATGAGCAAAGTTATCTATACAAGTCATGCTAATTAGTCTAGTAGGCTGTTTTATAGCAAGCTTTAAGTTGAAGTTTAGTAACAAACATTCGAAGTCTAGTGGTACATTATTACTTTTTAAAACATTAATATTAAAGTCGCCAGCTATTAAAATATTATTACATCGTAATTTTGTAATGAGGAAAAGAATCTTTTCAAGCTTAGCAAAAAATGTAACCAAATTATTTGAATTCGGCACTCGATAGACACAGACTATAACTACTTTGTAATCAGTTAATTCGATGGCACAACATTCAAATACATTAATTATACAATTAGTTTTAACTTCTGTAATCTCTCTCCATTGGTGGTCTTTATGAACCATGATGCAGGCTCCGCCTCTTTTGCTGTTACTTATACTGAAACAACTAGCTAATACATAGTTATTTATGTGGAGATGTGTTTCAGTTCCTGCCATCATAAAATGTTCCGTGATACAAAGAACATCAATATTTTTGTTTTTTTTCTGCAAGTTCTTCCATATTTATCATCAGGATATCAGTTTTGTTAAGTAATCCAGCTATATTTTGCATTTATCCAACACATGTAGGTGTTTAGTTTCGAAAAAACATAGATTCAGCGTTTTCATAAGTCAACTGATTTGAGGACGATGGACTATCTACTGGGTGTATTTCGTACTTGATTATTCCATTAATAAATTCATGGATGTCTTGGAAGATAGTTTTCATACCGACGTTATTCACCGTGCCACTTTTCATATTAAACATTTCATAACTACATTTTAGATTTTTATTTGAGTCTAAGAAGTAAGCGTGCTCATGTTCTAGTACATCGAAATACAACAGATTATTAAAGTTCGCTACTCGCCAGTGAACATATTTGTGTGATGTCCATACTTAAAAGTGGGCGCACAGATGATTATGTTAGTGTGACGTAGTTTTTGCAAAACTTCTCTTATATACAGTATAAAGTTAAAGTAATCATGAGTGCTTTTGAAATCTTCTTCGCCTATTAAAATGACACAAAAGTCGTTCATCGTAAAATCTTGTATTTTGGTTTCCAAATTATTAATAAGTTGTTCTGTACTGCAGTTTGGCTTAAGGTAATGGCAAATATCAAATTTTTCGGAGAAAGTTTTTTGAGAAATAGACAATATTTTATGTTTAGTACTAGTGCCTAATATATGAATTTTATTTTTCTTTCTCTTAATTTCTGTCTGGCTTTGCGTAAGCTCGGTACCAGATAATGGCTGGCCCGGATTAGTTACATCTATCGTTGGTGACGACTGTAGTTGACTTGATGTGTGTAATTGTTTATTTCTTCTTGTTTTTTCTAGGGACTTTGGGTAACCGTTTTGTATAAGTTATTTTGTTCTAGTAGTTCAAAATTCGTGCGTTTGAGTTTGGTATTTTCCATAGAAAGAATTTCAATTTCTTGATGGGCACTGCTAAGTTCAGTTTGCAATTGGTTTATTTGTTGTTTTAATTTATAGAGCAAGAGCCCGTGAGAGCCAGACCTTCGGATTTTTATAAAAGCTAAGAGTTCTTCTGTGTATGTCCCCAATACAGGTAAGAAAGGTCCCCACCCATGAAACCTGGGTAGTGGTGGCTTTGGCAGGTAACAGGTAGCAAAGGTGTATAAAATTCCACCTCAAATTTATTAATTTATAAAACTCAATTTTTTTATATTTTATTCGTGATAATATTAAAACTCGCGTTGCTCATTGCCAGACACTTAATATGGTTACAACCCTCTGCCGGACACCCCTGAACTATTATAATTTGTAACTATACTTACGTTATATTATAAAAGCTAAATTTTATATATGTTTTTTGGACAACTATTAAATATTATTTCCTTAATAGCCAGACAATTTCGAGGGTTACATCGTCCAGCCAGACGTAACAAATGTGTACAATAGTTATGAGTGAGAGGAGTATATGCAGCAACGGGTGCGAGTGAGATAGAGCGTGCAGTCTATTGCGATTTTTTACTGCGCATCAGCTGCTCATTGTGTATTAAGTAGTGCGCGGTTATCCTCATAGTAAACATACATCAAACGTATATTAAACGTTGTATTATTTTTCTGTGTAATTTATAAAATAAATGTGATCTAATAATTGTAATAAAAAGTTATCATGAGTGAAGAAGAAGTAAAAGTAGTTTGCTTTGTCTGTAAAAAAAGTGGCGAAGATCTAATAATATTTACCGAGGAGACTTTAAAAAAATGTCAGAATATTCTAAAATTAAGAAAAATACACAAACTTAAATACCAAGACGTTATTTTACCTAGTGAATATACAGAGAGTGGTTATCACAGATCATGTTATAAAGCATTTACAGGTCTAATGAAAAAATACTTCAGCGCTGAACCTCTAAGCACTAAAAAAAAACAAGCAAGTGGTGTAGTTACAGACAAATCATTTCCAACTTCATCGTTGACTCCAGATTTGAGTTCAGAACCACCTGATTCAGAGTCTTCATCAATAGAATCTTCAACAATATCTCAACAAATTTTATTTTCCCAGTCAATAGAAGCACAACCGTCAACATCTCAAGATGAATCTTATTTACAGCCTGTACCTTCAGAATCTTCCACGACACCTCAGCCGACTCCAATTTCTGACTCAATAGGTCTACAATCTTCACCTCTTCAAGATTTTTCTGGTGTTTCTGAACCGGATGTTAGTGATAATAATATTGTAACTCAGGACGTAAATACTTCGACTGATAATATTGCTGGTAATAGTGATAACGAGGTTGTTTGTATAATTTGTGAAAGAAAAAAGAAAAAAGTGAAATCGAGAATGGTTCCGCTTCATACAGCTGATGTCCATCAATTTAAAGCTAGTATTAAACCCAATATAGAATTATGATAATATGATAATAATTAAATTATGAACAGTATAAAGATTTTCTAAATAAATTGGATAATTTTTCTGGCCAAAAAATTTACTATCATACAGAATGCCGCGTTGATTTTAATAACACTGTGTCTTCATTAAAAAAAACGCGTAGCAAAACGGAGTGGCATTATCACCGAGAATATCACCAAATAGTTTTTAATGAAATCAGTACAATCATTAAGGAAGAAGTGATTAAAAAAGGACACTGTTTTTTATTAATTTATTTACATGAATTATATATAGATTCATTAGAAAATTTTATTCAATGAAATTTCTCCAAAAAATTAGAAAAAATGTTACTGAAAAAATCGAAATTAAAAACAGTAGATGCGCAGTAAAAAATCGCAATAGACTGCACGCTCTATCTCACTCGCACCCGTTGCTGCATATACTCCTCTCACTCATAACTATTGTACACATTTGTTACGTCTGGCTGGACGATGTAACCCTCGAAATTGTCTGGCTATTAAGGAAATAATATTTAATAGTTGTCCAAAAAACATATATAAAATTTAGCTTTTATAATATAACGTAAGTATAGTTACAAATTATAATAGTTCAGGGGTGTCCGGCAGAGGGTTGTAACCATATTAAGTGTCTGGCAATGAGCAACGCGAGTTTTAATATTATCACGAATAAAATATAAAAAAATTGAGTTTTATAAATTAATAAATTTGAGGTGGAATTTTATACACCTTTGCTACCTGTTACCTGCCAAAGCCACCACTACCCAGGTTTCATGGGTGGGGACCTTTCTTACCTGTATTGGGGACATACACAGAAGAACTCTTAGCTTTTATAAAAATCCGAAGGTCTGGCTCTCACGGGCTCTTGGACTATTATGTATCAGTTCATTCTGTGACTCATCATTTGACAAGTCAGGCATACTGGATACACTGTCATCGTGGAGGGTATGTGTGGAAACATCGCTCACGTTACTTTTGTTGGGGTCCGAGAATGTTCGGTTTCGTCGTCGTAACGTAATGTTATTTAAGAAGTTCATCGTAATTTCTAATGGATAAAGATAAACCAAACGAAGATATCACAAAAAGAGCGTGCACTCAGTGGGGATCGATCCGTGTGCCAATTGATCGTCAGTCCTCGTTTCGCCCAAGTCAGCTACTAAGTACGTTGGTTATTATGTCGAAATTGAGGTATAGTTTTTAGTTTCATTCGAATGTTGTTATTTTAGCAGTATTAAATTTAAATGTTAACGGTTTTCACTTTTTTGCACTTTTTTCTTCTTTTTTCGTTGATTTTCGCACTTTCACTTATTGTTTGCTAATAACTAGTATGCTTATGTATAAAACAGTACAAATATGTTTTAATTAATTGTTTTTAATCACTTATAACTGTTCACATGAAATCACTTAATAAATCTCTCCAGGGCTAAGTTAGCAAGTAGATAACAATATCTCAGGTAATTTATACTATTTACACAAGATTGAATATGTTATTTTAAGGAGATTACTGAATTTTTTTTTTTTTTTTATATTTAAATACGGAGCTTAATGTTTACTTGACAGCACAGCGCCATCTGTATGTTCATATAGTATAGTAGCGTGCCCGACCCAAAAGGGGTGAAAATACAGATTTTCCAAAAAAAAAAAACCGAACTGATCAACTTTTGTTTAAGTACTTTTAGAAATTAATAAAATATAAAATGAGTCATAACATATTTATTACACATATTTTTGTAACATTGCAGGTGATAATGAAAAAGTTGACGATATACAAAGATTTCTATCTGCTTGGCTATGAGTTCGGCATTCCAGTTGTTTTGGAAATGGCAGCAATATTGGAAAGCTACGGTAAGTAAGGGATACATCTGTATTCATTATTTCTAATAATGATGCAACTACTTTTTAACACTCCGTCTTACGTACCTACTATGTTTTTATTATCTGTTTTATTCTCAGTCAGTCTGAGGAAAAATCTTGTACTCCATTAGTTGTTCCATATCAATTTATTTGGACAAACAAACTGTAACAAATTATCTGCGCAAACAACAAAAACAAAGATATTTCATAAATGTGACACTCACACCGTTGTCCACAGAATGTCCTCCATGTCCTTATTATCTTTAATGATTTTATTGTTTCTTTGCAGGGTTAAGCGGTACAGTGATCTGTTTAGGTGGAACACCAAATGAAATTCAAGCAGACTTGGAAAACAATCTTCACGGTTTAACAGAAGATACATTGCAAATAAAGCTACTCAAACACTTTCACACCTTGTTCCTGGGCAAGAACATTCCAGAAATTGAGGAAAATTTGTTAAAGATACCACATTACTCTGACAAAGTGAAGTTTTGCGTGGACAGTCTTCGTGCGTGTGTAGCGTATAAAGGACAGTACTTAGAGACTTTTATGGAATCTGCTCATTCAAAGATCCGTCTGCTACGTAATTACAATCCAGATTTCAAAACTCTAAAAGCCAAAATAGTCATTATTCGAGCTAAATTTTCACACGAGATAGTTGCTGAACCATTGGAACTCTCACACCAAGATATTGTTATCCATGAAATCGATACATCCCTTGGCGATGCTCCTTATCACTTGAAATGTCCATCAATAATAAACAGCTATTTAGATGAAAACATTTTAAACAGATTTAAAAAAAGAAACCTCTGCGTAAGATCCATTCTTGAAAAAAAATAGTACAAATATTTGAACTGAAGAACAATTTAGCATATTGCGCCATGTTATGTTTATTTCTAAGTTAATAAATGTTAAAGTTTTGTATTTTAATAAGTCAATTAATATTAAAACTTTGTTATGTAATTTAAAAGGTTGTTTGGCGGATTCGTTGTAGGAATAAAAACGTTGATTATCTTTGTTCTTGTTTAAATTTTCCCTAAATTGTGTGGTAATCGAAAGCATTGAAATTATTTACTTATAAAAAAATATAAAAAATTAGCTTTAAAATGTATTCTCAGTCATCATATTAATGGTATCTAACACTTGATAATATGCAATAGCTTATGTAAAGGCAGAGCTGCATATCAATTCTTTATATACTTCTGAAAATGATTCTAACAATGTCAATTATGGAAATTGTAAATTGTTAGGTTTTGGGCCCAAGGACTCTTCCACTATTTGGTCTATTTGAGTGTAACCAACATAAACAGAACGTACAAAAACTATGTATCTACAAAATGATGTCTCACATCCATAAGTTCAGTCGATGAGTGCTTCGTAAGGCAGATCATAAACCTTTCTAGAATGCTAAAATCACAAGGTTGCTTATACGCTTGCACATACCACTATGGCATGTACAGTGCCTACATGTACCCTCTGTATCTAGAGCTGCAGACTGACACTTTTTATCTTCAATCTTTATTTGACGTTCAAAAGTTGCTGTAGTGCTCTAACTTAAATATATGATTTTGACTTTTAATGTTTAGTTTATATCTTTTTTGTGTAGGGAAAATCATTAAGTTACTATTTCCGCCCTAGTGTCAGACTCTTACTGAGTTAAAACCCTCAGTTCCTTCTCCTGCTCTGTGCCAAGGCCGCGGTGCTTCATTGCGCTTATCCCACAACCTCGGCAGAATATCAGCCCTCTGGGGCCCCGTCTGTGGTGGTCTTTGAGGCGTGAACGAGCCTAAAAGAGCCAATGCTCTTTGAGGCGTGAACGCTAGGCGCCGTCCGTAATTCCGCACTTCCCTGCACGCAATTTCGTGACTGGAGATTATCTCTCGGTCCCCGACGCCCGGAATGTCGCTTACTGCGGTGGCTGGGGCGCAAGGAGGATAGTTCCTATACGCGCTCCGCCGTGTTCTTTGCGAGCATCACTGCTTGAAAGAGGCTACCCAGCTCCTCTTGCTACGAACCATGGCCTCGACTAAGGCCGGGCGCGAGAGGTCGCCGCCGTCGATCACTTACCCGAGGACACGGCGCGGTGCTCAGCCCAAGCTGGGCACACCGCCACCGTAAGCTCCACCGTGTCTTCTATCTTCACAATGACGGCACTCAGGCGTTTCCTCCCGCTGGATTCGAAACAGGAACCTACCGAAGCTCCCGTGCCCGGTAACCACCTGCGTCGGCCCTCGGTTGCGACAGTCGTTGCTTCTACACACTACCGCTCGGTCGGCGTCGCTGACGCAATTAAAATGGCAACCGCATATGCCCAACTGTTAGGCATTACAGGACACAATACGATCATATATATCTATCTCTTTCGGTTTTCGAGGTGTTCGCGTCAGAACAACTTACTCCGGAAACTTCCAGCCCAGACCTAAATTTTTTTTATATCATAGGTCGGCAAAGAAACTGATGCCTGATGGTAAGCAATCGGCGCCGCCCATGGACAATCGTTTTTTTTTTTTTAATCTATTTATGACGGACGGGGTTTTTATCCTAGCTTTAGGATATGACAACCCCATTGTTCCCATCGTTAGCAAACCTACAACTCTAATAAAATTATAAAAAAAAATCATAATAGGGTGACGTCAAGAACCAAGCTACTGTGGGAGCACTGAAAGCAAATTGCAAAACATCTTTGCTTTTTTTGACGTTGGGGTTGATAAAATAGTTTGCGCGATACCTACATCAAATTTATTTAATTTAAGTGTCCCCATCAGCACCCTCCGCTCCCGACTATTTTTGACACATTCCATCAAAATATGTTGCAGATCTTCTTCAACTTGGCATGTATCACAATTCGGAGAGTCTACTTTTCTCATCATGTATGCAAATTTTTTTGATGGAATATGACCAGATCTAAGTCTACACAATGTTCTCGTCAAGTTTCTGTTCATTTTATTCATTACAAACCATGGTATGCGAAGAGGCTCAGACTGTAAGGTTCTATACCAAATTCCCTTATCTTTGGATATTAAATTAAAGTGTGCTTTCCATTTATTGTAGTTTAACATTTTGAGTTCAGGTAATATTTCTGAATGATCAGGTAATGTATTAATTATAATTCCTTCACTGCACCCCAATTTGGCTAATCTGTCCGCCTCTTCGTTACCATGTATTCCAGTATGAGCTGGAATCCATTGCAGTTTCACCTCTATGCTTTTGTCCTGTAATTGCAATATCTTTTCGAGTATTGCATAGGCTATCGATATACCTCTGACTCCAGAGGCGCATCGAGCCAAATGTTGCAGAGCACTTCTGCTGTCCGTAAGAATGACAGTATTGTTCCATTTATTTTGGATGACAAAAGATAGGGCTTCTGAAATTGCAATGAGCTCCGCCGACATAATAGTCAAATTGTTCCCAACATTAAAACAAACACGATGGCTCACAGAAGATACATAAAAAGCCGCTCCTACACTGTTATCCGTTTTGGATCCATCTGTATAAATTTTAAACCAATTAGAATATTTTTCATTCAGTTCATCAACAACATTACATCTGAGGGAATTACATTCATATTCTTTTTTTCCTTTCTATATATATAATGCTATTTAAGTTTATATGAATTACATCTTTTACCCGAGTGTGAGAGAGCCATATGTTTTGTTTGAACATAAGCAGTGGATACGTACTGTGGATGTTATGGTGTTTAGTCTCATTGTATGTAGTCGCAATTAAAGGTCTTTTTTTTCTTTGCCAATACCTGTTGTTGCATGCTATGTTCAGTTTATTCACAAGATGGATAGTGACATTATTTGACCATGATTGGCTTTTTATACAGAATTTGGCTGCTAAGTATTGCCTCCTTAGATATAGCGGTGGTATACCAAGTTCGCTTTCCATTACATGGATTGGGGAGCTTTTAATAAATCCACCAATTACTCGTAAAGCCTGGTTTTGGACTCGGTCAAGTTTGGAAATGTGGGTTTGAGCACTGCTATCATATAAAAAGCTTGCATAATCTATACGACTTCTAACTAATGAAATATATAGTCTCCTAATATGTCTCTGATGAATTCCCCAGGTAGGGCCCGATAAAACTTTTAATAGGTTTAAAAATTTAGAAACTTGTCTTACAATTTCGTTTATATGCTTACCCCAGCTCAGTGTACGGTCCAACCACATACCCAGATATCGAATGCACGGTGTGATTGGCAAATCATTATTTGCCACAGTTAGACTCGGAACAATTCGCCTATGTCCTCTACTAAAAACACAGTACTTGGATTTTGTTGTTGATAGTTGTAGCCCTAGTTCTTCGAGTAATATTATTAGTAGTCCGAGTGATTCTTCAATGGTTATTTTGCATTGGTTCAAGTTTTTGTTGCTCACGTACAAAACAAAGTCATCTGCATATTGCGAAACCATTACATTTTTTAATTGAAAACATATCTTATGTGTTACTATATTAAAAAGTAGGGGTGAAATCGGGTCCCCTTGTGCTAACCCACAGGACGTCCATCTTGTTAATATGGGTTGATCGTCTTCCCCTTTAATCGTTAAGTGTCGTTCTTTCAGGAAGTTCCAAAAGTAATGACAAATTTTCTCGCCTACTTGTATCTCATCTAAGACTTTCACTACTGCTTCTATTAAAATTTTATTGTAGGCACTGTCTATATCTAAAAAACAAGCAACAGTTGGAATATTTTCAGAGTATCCTATCTGAATTTGAGTAATTAAACGCGTCAAGCTATCTATGCAAGAATGTGATTTCCTGAATCCTACTGTAAACGGAGATATAATTTCATTTTTCTCCGCGTACCATTCTAGACGCTTTCCTATCATGCAGTGTAAAATTTTGCACATACAAGATATTAGTGATATAGGGCGAAGTTTTTGTTCTGCGACAGAAGTGTTTGGTTTCTGAATAGCTATAACTAATATTTTGTGCCATTGTGATGGAATATATCCTGTTTGTAAAATAAGATTATATATCTTTAGTAAAAACTTTTTTACTTCTTCGGGTAGGTGGTAGATCATTGAGTATGCAATGTTGTCGTCACCAGGTGAGGTATCTTTTTTTTTTAAACAACACTGAAGCTCTTCTGTTGTAAAATCAATTTCCATAATATTATTGTGAGATTTAATTTCTGGAAGCCTATTTAAAACGGAGTCAGGGGTAAGCGAACATAATAATTCTATTTGTTTATTAACTGGGACATGAGTTTTTACTTTACGGTATCTAAGGGATACCGTAAAGTAAAAACTCATGTCCATCCACCTCATTTTATTCCAAAGTTCAGTTGCCGAGGAATTTTCATCAACTGAATTGCAAAACTTATTCCAGTTTTGGCTACGGGCTTTAGCTATAATTTTTGAACACTGTTTCATTTGGTGTTCAAATATGTTGAGATTACTGGGGGTGGGGTTTCTCCTAAAATTTTTAAGTGCTAATCTTCGACGCGCTACAGCATGAGAAAGCTCGGGAGTCCAGTATGGCTTTGGTTTAAATTTATTTGAAATG